TGCTGTCCTCACTGCCCTGAGGCTTTTCAAGGGACAGCTCCCACCACCCCAGCCCAGCCTCCGAGAGCCTGCGTCCAGGGGCCAGCCCAGCCCAGCCCAGCCTCCGAGAGCCTGCGTCCAGGGGCCGGCCCAGCCCAGCCCAGCTTCCGAGAGCCTGCGTCCAGTGGAGAGGGAGCAGGCGTGATGGCCACTGGGTCTCACCTCTCAGATGGCAGGTGTCTGGCAGGGCACAGAACCACGGGTCAGAGTGGGGCAGGGTGTCAATGAGGGGCAGTGGACGGGCTCTGGGCTTGGGCTGGCTGTGCCAAGCAGCAGGAGGTGGGTCCTGGGCTCCGTCCCCAGCTGCCTTCCAGCCGCTGGAGCCTGTCGGTCTGCCCGGGTGCCGTCCTCACTGACTTCTAGGCCTGTGCCTGCAAGCTGTGCTGAGGGAGAGGAGCTCTGAAGGGAGCGTTCCTGTGCACACTCCCCTCCCCCAGGTTCCCCAGGCCAGGAGGGTGGGCCTGCAGGCCACTCAGAGGCCAAGGCTTGGCCAGCTGTGTCCGTGTCTGCCTCCCATGCAGCCGCCTGGCCCCTGGTCCTCCTGGGCCAGCCCTGCACTGGAGTCGCACACACGCCGCCTCCCTCTCGGGGCCCCGGGAGTCTTGCAGGCACAAGGAAGCGACTGTGTGGCTGTAACAGGCCGCGGCACCGCTGGTGTCCGGTGCCGAGCGGTCAGATGAGTGTCGGCTCCTCATCGCTGTTTCCCTTCTTCAGGAATGTTCCGTTTGGCTGCTGTGCACTGGCCACTCCTGCACACCTTTCCTTCCGAGGTGACCACCTCAGCTACTGGACTCGGAGGCTCAAGCCACCAGGCACGGTGGCCAGAGCGCCATGGACCCCCGCTCCGGCAGGCGTGGTTGTCATGGGACCAGGGCACCTCGCGGTGCGCGGCTGGCACTCTTCACGCCCCCTGGCCGAGGACTCCGTGGTGGAGAAGTCCCTCAAGTCCCTCAAGGACAAGAACAAGAAGCTGGAGGAGGGCGGCCCCGTGTACAGCCCCCCGGCACAGGCGCTGCAGAGGAAGTCCATCGGGCAGAAGGTCCTGGACGAGCTGAAGCACTACTACCACGGCTTCCGCCTGCTCTGGATCGACACCAAGATCGCCGCGCGCACGCTCTGGCGCATCCTCAACGGCCACACCCTCACCCGCCGGGAGCGCAGGCAGGTAATGGGGACACACCAGGCGGCCGCACCTGTGTCGGCGCGCCTGCTGCGTCTGGGAAGAAAGTCAGGAAGATGCGGCAGAGTGAGCTCCCCGAGACCGGGCGGGCTCTGTGGGGCAGGGCTCTGCCTTTCCCTCGTGCCTTGAGGCCTGGCCTGGGCTGGCGTGTGTCCCTTTGTAAGTTTTTATTTATTTATTTGCAAGGCAGAGCAACAGAGAGAGAGAGAAGGAGAGAGAGAGAGAGAGAGCTTCCATCCTCTGGTGTACTCCCAGATGGCAGCAGTGTGAAGTCTGGACCAGGCAGAGGCCAGGCACCAAGAACGCCACCCTGGTCTCCCACGTGGGCGGCGGGACGCGCTGCCCAACCCAAGTTGTCGTTCCCCGTTGCCTTCCCAGGCACTAGCAGGAAGCTGGATTGGAAGCAGGGTCTCTCTGGGACTCAGATAGGCACCTCCACCGGGGGCAGCAGTGAGCGCCACGTTGGACGAGGGTCCTGTGGCCCAGGCAGCCCGGCAGTGCCCTCCCCAGGAGCGCTTCCGGCCTCGTGGCTGCATGCAGCCCTGCGCTGGGGCCTCTGCCCGGAGCTCCAGTTGCCACCCACACCCCGCAGTTTCTGCGGACTGTGCGTTTTCCTTCTTGTTATTTTAAAGATTTACTTATCAGAATGGCAGAGTTACAGGGAGGGAGGGAGAGAGTCAGAGGTCTTCCGTCTGCTGGTGCACTCCACAAATGACTGCAACAGCCAAGTCTGGGCCAGGCCAAAGCCAGGAGCTTCCTCCAGGTCTCCCACGCAGGTGCAGGGGACCAAGCACTTGGGCCATCCTCTGCTGCTTTCCCAGGCCACGGCAGGGAGCTGGATTGGAAGTGGAGCCGCTGGAACTTGGTCCTGCACTCGTGGAATGCCAGGGTCACAGGTGCTACCCGCTGTGCCACACTGGCATGCACACTAAACCAAGCTCCTGGGCGTCTCCTTTGTGCCACCCTTCCCCGGCACTCGGGCCGGAAGTCTTAGAGACAACCAACACTCAGTATCTCCCACAGCCTGTAGCCGATTCCCAGACTGTTAATGCATCTGAGACTAGGCAGGGATGTGACAGGGCCTCCGCACTGCAGGCAGCGTGGGGGCGTGGCCTAGGGTCGCGACTCCAGGGGGGATTCCCGGCTCCCATGTTGGAGAGCCTGGACCCAGTCTGTCTCTGGCTCCTGACGCGGGCTTATTTACGTGTGTGGAAGTCAGAGTTGGCCCGGGGTGGGCGAGATCTCCCAACCACTGCTTCGCTCCCCAATGGCTGCAACACCGGTGCTGCTGCCTTTTTTTTTTTTTTTTTTTTTTTTTTTTTGGACAGGCAGAGTTAGTGAGACAGAGAGAAAGGCCTTCCTTTTTCCGTTGGTTCACCCCCAATGGCCGCCACGATCCAAAGCCAGGAGCCAGGTGCTTCTCCTGCTCTCCCATGGGGTGCAGGGGCCAAGCACTGGGGCCATCCTCCACTGCACTCCCTGGCCACAGCAGAGAGCTGGCCTGGAAGAGGGGCAACCGGGACAGAATCCAGTACCCCGACTGGGACTAGAACCCGGTGTGCTGGCGCCACAGGCAAAGGATTAGCCTAGTGAGCCATGGTGTCGGCCTTTTTTTTTTTTTTTTTTTTTTTAAGATTTATTTGGGGCTGGTGTCATGGCGTAGCAGGTAAAGCTGTCACATCTGATGCCGGCATCCCATGTAAGTGCAAGTTCAAGTCCCGGCTGCTCCACTTCCTGCCCAGCTCCCTGCTAGTGCACCTGAGAAAGAAGCAGAAGATGGCCCAGGTCCTTGGGCCCCTGCACCCACATGGGAGACCTGGAAGAGGCTCCTGGCTCCTGGCTTGGGCCTGGCCCAGTACCGGCCAGTGTGGCCATCTGGGGGGGGAACCAGCCTTTCAAATAAATAAATAAAATCTTCAAAAAAAAAGAGAGAGAGAGAGTTGGTGTGGTTCTCTGCCTCTGGGCAGGCAGGAGGAGTGTGCAGGCCCCCGCCCTCGCCCGGCCCGCCCCCTGATGCCTGCCCCTCTCCAGTTTCTCCGCATCTGCGCTGACCTCTTCCGCCTGGTCCCCTTCCTCGTCTTCGTGGTGGTGCCATTCATGGAGTTCCTGCTGCCCGTGGCTGTGAAGCTCTTCCCCAACATGCTGCCATCCACGTTCGAGACGCAGTCCATCAAGGTGAGCCGCTGCGGCCGCGCTGCTCGGGCTGAGGCTTCTAGAAGCTTCCTTCTCAGTGGCCATGGGTTCAGCTTTGCTAGCTCTTGTCTGCGGCTGATCAGGAAGACGTTTCTAAAAATGACAGCACTCTTTCAGAGAGCCAGTCCTGCCGCATGTGCCGTCAGCAAACCTGCGGCTCTCGCCAGGGCCCGTGGCTGCTCTTGACGCCCGGCGGGGGGAGGCGGGGGGCTTCAGCCCCGAGGCCCAAAGCGTTGCTGTCTGCCCGTAGAGAGACAGAATGCCAGGGTCACAGGTGTTACCCACTGTGCCGCACCGGCGTGCACACTAAACCAAGCTGGCCTGGCTGAGAGGGCGCGTTGTTGGTGGCCTGATGTGTGTGTGACGGGGGGAGGGGCCCGCTGACTGAGCTGTCCCTGTGGTGATGCCGGGAGTCAGTGCCCTGTCCTGTGGTGATGCCGGGAGTCAGTGCCCTGTCCTGTGGTGATGCCGGGAGTGCACTCTGTCCTGTGGTGATGCCGGGAGTCAGTGCCCTGTCCTGTGGTGATGCCGGAGTCAGTGCCCTGTCCTGTGGTGATGCCGGAGTCAGTGTCCTGTCCTGTGGTGATGCCGGAGTCAGTGCCCTGTCCTGTGGTGATGCCGGGAGTGCACTCTGTCCTGTGGTGATGCCGGGAGTCAGTGCCCTGTCCTGTGGTGATGCCGGGAGTGCACTCTGTCCTGTGGTGATGCCGGGAGTCAGTGCCCTGTCCTGTGGTGATGCCGGGAGTGCACTCTGTCCTGTGGTGATGCCGGGAGTGCACTCTGTCCTGTGGTGATGCCGGAGTCAGTGCCCTGTCCTGTGGTGATGCCGGAGTCAGTGCGCTCTGCCCCGCAGGAGGAGAGGCTGAAGAAGCAGCTGCGGGTCAAGCTGGAGCTGGCCAAGTTCCTCCAGGACACCATCGAGGAGATGGCACTCAAGAACAAGGCGGCCAAGGGCAGCGCCGCCAAGGACTTCTCCGCCTTCTTCCAGAAGGTGCTGTGCTGCCGCGGGCGCTGTGTGTCGGGATGCGCCCCGTGCACCCTCCTGAGGGGAGCCTGAGGGGCTGGGCAGGTGGGGGGCCTCTGGGGGTGAGGAGGGCTGGGCAGGTGGGGGGCCTCGGGGGTGAGGAGGGCTGGGCAGGTGGGGGGCCTCTGGGGGTGAGGAGGCCTGGGCAGGTGGGGGGCCTCGGGGGTGAGGAGGGCTGGGCAGGTGGGGGGCCTCTGGGGGTGAGGAGGCCTGGGCAGGTGGGGGGCCTCTGGGGGTGAGGAGGGCTGGGCAGGTGGGGGCCTCTGGGGGTGAGGAGGCCTGGGCAGGTGGGGGGCCTCGGGGGTGAGGAGGGCTGGGCAGGTGGGGGGCCTCGGGGGTGAGGAGGCCTGGGCAGGTGGGGGGCCTCTGGGGGTGAGGAGGGCTGGGCAGGTGGGGGGAGGCGCCCCCTCTGGAGGCAGGAGGCAGACCCAAGGTCTTTCAGGTGCTGTGTGGTGCTGTCGGCTGAAAGGGAGTCATTTGCACAGCCACAGGCCGAGAGCATTGCCGTCGGCCCTTTAGGGACGTGTGGAGACACTGTCCATGGCTGCGGTGGGCGCGCAGTGGGTCTGCAGGGGAGCACCGTTTCCTGCTGCTGTGGCTGCTGTCTCCCGAGAAGGTCCAGCTCACGGCCCACTGGGTGCGGCACGCACCTGCCCCTGCTGACACTCCTGGAACTGTGCCAGCTGGTGGTGTCTGCAGTGTGGGCTGACCTCCTGGGGGATGGACGGGTCCTCCCCCCCGGTCCTCCACAGTGGACCGTCCCAGCCCAGCTCGTCCATGCGCCCTGAGCTGAGGGGTTCCACCCCTTCCTGGGGGCCCAAGAAAGGAGGCAGCAGGCCAGGAGCTTGACATGGCCTGCACTTGGTGGCCCCTGCCATCGTGCAGGTGGGAGGTGCAGAGTGCACGGGGGTGCCCGCTTCCCACCACTGACCAGACACACCACACAGCACAGGGTACCCGCTTCCCACTGCTGACAGATGGGCCCCAGACACAGCACAGGGTACCCGCTTCCCACTGCTGACAGATGGCCCCCAGACACAGCACAGGGTGCCCGCTTCCCACTGCTGACACAGATGGGCCCCAGACACAGCACAGGGTGCCCACTTCCCACTGCTGACAGACGGGGCCCAGACACAGCACAGGGTGCCCACTTCCCACTGCTGACACAGATGGGCCACAGACACAGCACAGGGTGCCCACTTCCCACTGCTGACAGACGGGGCCCAGACACAGCACAGGGTGCCCACTTCCCACTGCTGGCAGATGGCCACCAGACATAGCACAGGGTGCCCACTTCCCACTGCTGACACAGACAGGGCCCAGACACAGCACAGGGTGCCCGCTTTGCACTGCTGGCAGACAGGCCCCAGACACAGCACAGGGTGCCCACTTCCCACTGCTGACAGACGGGGCCCAGACACAGCACAGGGTACCCGCTTCCCACTGCTGACAGACGGGACCCAGACACAGCACAGGGTGCCCGCTTCCCACTGCTGACAGACGGGGCCCAGACACAGCACAGGGTGCCCACTTCCCACTGCTGACAGACGGGGCCCAGACACAGCACAGGGTGCCCACTTCCCACTGCTGACAGACGGGGTCCAGACACAGCACAGGGTGCCCACTTCCCACTGCTGACAGATGGCCCCCAGACATAGCACAGGGTGCCCACTTCCCACTGCTGACAGACGGGGCCCAGACACAGCACAGGGTGCCCACTTCCCACCACTGACACAGACAGGGCCCAGACACAGCACAGGGTGCCCGCTTCCCACTGCTGGCAGACAGGCCCCAGACACAGCACAGGGTGCCCACTTCCCACTGCTGACAGACGAGACCCAGACACAGCACAGGGTGCCCGCTTCCCACTGCTGACAGACGGGGCCCAGACACAGCACAGGGTGCCCACTTCCCACTGCTGACAGACGGGGCCCAGACACAGCACAGGGTGCCCGCTTCCCAAGCTGACACAGATGACCCCCAGACACAGCACAGGGTGCCCACTACCCACTGCTGACCAGATGACCCCCAGACACAGCACAGGGTGCCCACTTCCCACTGCTGACAGATGGGGCCCAGACACAGCACAGGGTGCCCACTTCCCACTGCTGACCAGATGACCCCCAGACACAGCACAGGGTGCCCACTTCCCACTGCTGACAGACGGGGCCCAGACACAGCACAGGGTGCCCGCTTCCCACTGCTGACAGATGGGCCCCAGACACAGCACAGGGTGCCCACTTCCCACTGCTGACCAGATGACCCCCAGACACAGCACAGGGTGCCCACTTCCCACCACTGACACAGACAGGGCCCAGACACAGCACAGGGTGCCCGCTTCCCACTGCTGGCAGACGGGGCCCAGACACAGCACAGGGTGCCCACTTCCCACTGCTGACAGATGGCCCCCAGACACAGCACAGGGTGCCCACTTCCCACTGCTGGCAGACGGGGCCCAGACACAGCACAGGGTGCCCACTTCCCACTGCTAACACACAGGGCTCAGACACAGCACAGGGTGCCCGCTTCCCACTGCTGACAGACGGGGCCCAGACAAGGCACAGGGTGCCCACTTCCCACTGCTAACACACAGGGCCCAGACACAGCACAGGGTGCCCGCTTCCCACCACTGACACAGACAGGGCCCAGACACAGCACAGGGTGCCCACTTCCCACTGCTGACCAGATGGACCCCAGATACAGCACAGGGTGCCCACTTCCCACCACTGACACAGACAGGGCCCAGACACAGCACAGGGTGCCCACTTCCCACTGCTAACAGACAGGGCCCAGACACAGCACAGGGTGCCCACTTCCCACTGCTGACCAGATGGGCCCCAGACACAGCACAGGGTGCCCACTTCCCACCACTGACACAGACAGGGCCCAGACACAGCACAGGGTGCCCACTTCCCACTGCTAACAGACGGGGCCCAGACACAGCACAGGGTGCCCACTTCCCACTGCTGGCAGACGGGGCCCAGACACAGCACAGGGTGTCCGCTTCCCACTGCTGACAGACGGGGCCCAGACACAGCACAGGGTGCCTGCTTCCCACTGCTAACACACAGGGCCCAGACACAGCACAGGGTGCCCACTTCCCACTGCTGGCAGACGGGGCCCAGACACAGCACAGGGTGCCCACTTCCCACTGCTGACAGACGGGGTCCAGACACAGCACAGGGTGCCCACTTCCCACCACTGACACAGACAGGGCCCAGACACAGCACAGGGTGCCCGCTTCCCACTGCTGGCAGACAGGGCCCAGACACAGCACAGGGTGCCCACTTCCCACTGCTGACAGACGGGGCCCAGACACAGCACAGGGTGCCCACTTCCCACTGCTGACCAGATGGGCCCCAGACACAGCACAGGGTGCCCACTTCCCACTGCTGACCAGATGACCCCCAGACACAGCACAGGGTGCCCACTTCCCACCACTGACACAGACAGGGCCCAGACACAGCACAGGGTGCCCGCTTCCCACTGCTGACCAGATGGGCCCCAGACACAGCACAGGGTGCCCACTTCCCACCACTGACACAGACAGGGCCCAGACACAGCACAGGGTGCCCACTTCCCACTGCTGACACAGACAGGGTCCAGACACAGCACAGGGTGCCCACTTCCCACTGCTGGCAGACGGGGCCCAGACACAGCACAGGGTGCCCACTTCCCACTGCTATTAGACGGGGTCCAGACACAGCACAGGGTGCCCACTTCCCACTGCTGGCAGACGGGGCCCAGACACAGCACAGGGTGCCCACTTCCCACTGCTGACAGACGGGGCCCAGACACAGCACAGGGTGCCCACTTCCCACTGCTAACACACAGGGCCCCAGACACAGCACAGGGTGCCCACTTCCCACTGCTAACACACAGGGCCCAGACACAGCACAGGGTGCCCGCTTCCCACCACTGACACAGACAGGGCCCAGACACAGCACAGGGTGCCCACTTCCCACTGCTGGCAGACGGGGCCCAGACACAGCACAGGGTGCCCACTTCCCACTGCTGGCAGACGGGGCCCAGACACAGCACAGGGTGCCCACTTCCCACTGCTAACAGACGGGGCCCAGACACAGCACAGGGTGCCCACTTCCCACTGCTAACACACAGGGCCCCAGACACAGCACAGGGTCCTGCTTCCCACTGCTAACACACAGGGCCCAGACACAGCACAGGGTTCCCACTTCCCACTGCTGACCAGATGGACCCCAGATACAGCACAGGGTGCCCACTTCCCACCACTGACACAGACAGGGCCCAGACACAGCACAGGGTGCCCGCTTCCCACTGCTGACAGACGGGGCCCAGACACAGCACAGGGTGCCCACTTCCCACTGCTGACCAGATGACCCCCAGACACAGCACAGGGTGCCCACTTCCCACTGCTGACCAGATGACCCCCAGACACAGCACAGGGTGCCCACTTCCCACCACTGACACAGACAGGGCCCAGACACAGCACAGGGTGCCCGCTTCCCACTGCTGACCAGATGGGCCCCAGACACAGCACAGGGTGCCCACTTCCCACCACTGACACAGACAGGGCCCAGACACAGCACAGGGTGCCCACTTCCCACTGCTGACACAGACAGGGTCCAGACACAGCACAGGGTGCCCACTTCCCACTGCTGGCAGACGGGGCCCAGACACAGCACAGGGTGCCCACTTCCCACTGCTGGCAGATGGCCACCAGACATAGCACAGGGTGCCCGCTTCCCACTGCTGACACAGACAGGGCCCAGACACAGCACAGGGTGCCCGCTTTGCACTGCTGGCAGACAGGCCCCAGACACAGCACAGGGTGCCCACTTCCCACTGCTGACAGACGGGGCCCAGACACAGCACAGGGTGCTCGCTTCCCACTGCTGACAGACGGGACCCAAACACAGCACAGGGTGCCCGCTTCCCACTGCTGACAGACGGGGCCCAGACACAGCACAGGGTGCCCACTTCCCACTGCTATCAGACGGGGTCCAGACACAGCACAGGGTGCCCGCTTTGCACTGCTGGCAGACAGGCCCCAGACACAGCACAGGGTGCCCACTTCCCACTGCTGACAGATGGCCCCCAGACACAGCACAGGGTGCCCACTTCCCACTGCTGACAGACGGGGCGCCGACACAGCACAGGGTGCCTGCTTCCCACTGCTAACACACAGGGCCCAGACACAGCACAGGGTGCCCACTTCCCACTGCTGGCAGACGGGGCCCAGACACAGCACAGGGTGCCCGCTTCCCACTGCTGACAGACGGGGCCCAGACACAGCACAGGGTGCCCACTTCCCACTGCTATCAGACGGGGTCCAGACACAGCACAGGGTGCCCGCTTTGCACTGCTGGCAGACAGGCCCCAGACACAGCACAGGGTGCCCACTTCCCACTGCTGACAGATGGCCCCCAGACACAGCACAGGGTGCCCGCTTCCCACTGCTGACAGACGGGGCGCCGACACAGCACAGGGTGCCTGCTTCCCACTGCTAACACACAGGGCCCAGACACAGCACAGGGTGCCCACTACCCACTGCTGGCAGACGGGGCCCAGACACAGCACAGGGTGCCCACTTCCCACTGCTGGCAGACGGGGCCCAGACACAGCACAGGGTGCCCGCTTCCCACTGCTGACAGACGGGGCTCAGACACAGCACAGGGTGCCCACTTCCCACTGCTATCAGACGGGGTCCAGAGACAGCACAGGGTGCCCGCTTCCCACCACTGACACAGACAGGGCCCAGACACAGCACAGGGTGCCCACTTCCCACTGCTAACAGACGGGGCCCAGACACAGCACAGGGTGCCCACTTCCCACTGCTGGCAGACGGGGCCCAGACACAGCACAGGGTGTCCGCTTCCCACTGCTGACAGACGGGGCCCAGACACAGCACAGGGTGCCTGCTTCCCACTGCTAACACACAGGGCCCAGACACAGCACAGGGTGCCCACTTCCCACTGCTGACCAGACGGGGCCCAGACACAGCACAGGGTGCCCACTTCCCACTGCTGACAGACGGGGTCCAGACACAGCACAGGGTGCCCACTTCCCACCACTGACACAGACAGGGCCCAGACACAGCACAGGGTGCCCGCTTCCCACTGCTGGCAGACAGGGCCCAGACACAGCACAGGGTGCCCACTTCCCACTGCTGACAGACGGGGCCCAGACACAGCACAGGGTGCTCGCTTCCCACTGCTGACTGACGGGGTCCAGACACAGCACAGGGTGCCCACTTCCCACTGCTGACAGACGGGGCCCAGACACAGCACAGGGTGCCCACTTCCCACTGCTGACCAGATGGGCCCCAGACACAGCACAGGGTGCCCACTTCCCACTGCTGACCAGATGACCCCCAGACACAGCACAGGGTGCCCACTTCCCACCACTGACACAGACAGGGCCCAGACACAGCACAGGGTGCCCACTTCCCACTGCTGACACAGACAGGGTCCAGACACAGCACAGGGTGCCCACTTCCCACTGCTGGCAGACGGGGCCCAGACACAGCACAGGGTGCCCACTTCCCACTGCTATTAGACGGGGTCCAGACACAGCACAGGGTGCCCACTTCCCACTGCTGGCAGACGGGGCCCAGACACAGCACAGGGTGCCCACTTCCCACTGCTGACAGACGGGGCCCAGACACAGCACAGGGTGCCCACTTCCCACTGCTAACACACAGGGCCCCAGACACAGCACAGGGTGCCCACTTCCCACTGCTAACACACAGGGCCCAGACACAGCACAGGGTGCCCGCTTCCCACCACTGACACAGACAGGGCCCAGACACAGCACAGGGTGCCCACTTCCCACTGCTGGCAGACGGGGCCCAGACACAGCACAGGGTGCCCACTTCCCACTGCTATTAGACGGGGTCCAGACACAGCACAGGGTGCCCACTTCCCACTGCTGGCAGACGGGGCCCAGACACAGCACAGGGTGCCCACTTCCCACTGCTAACAGACGGGGCCCAGACACAGCACCGGGTGCCCACTTCCCACTGCTAACACACAGGGCCCCAGACACAGCACAGGGTGCCTGCTTCCCACTGCTAACACACAGGGCCCAGACACAGCACAGGGTTCCCACTTCCCACTGCTGACCAGATGGACCCCAGATACAGCACAGGGTGCCTGCTTCCCACCACTGACACAGACAGGGCCCAGACAAGGCACAGGGTGCCCGCTTCCCACTGCTGATAGACGGGGCCCAGACACAGCACAGGGTGCCCACTTCCCACTGCTGACCAGATGACCCCCAGACACAGCACAGGGTGCCCACTTCCCACTGCTGACCAGATGACCCCCAGACACAGCACAGGGTGCCCACTTCCCACCACTGACACAGACAGGGCCCAGACACAGCACAGGGTGCCCACTTCCCACTGCTGACACAGACAGGGTCCAGACACAGCACAGGGTGCCCACTTCCCACTGCTGGCAGACGGGGCCCAGACACAGCACAGGGTGCCCACTTCCCACTGCTGGCAGATGGCCACCAGACATAGCACAGGGTGCCCACTTCCCACTGCTGACACAGACAGGGCCCAGACACAGCACAGGGTGCCCGCTTTGCACTGCTGGCAGACAGGCCCCAGACACAGCACAGGGTGCCCACTTCCCACTGCTGACAGACGGGGCCCAGACACAGCACAGGGTGCTCGCTTCCCACTGCTGACAGACGGGACCCAAACACAGCACAGGGTGCCCGCTTCCCACTGCTGACAGACGGGGCCCAGACACAGCACAGGGTGCCCGCTTCCCACTGCTGACAGACGGGGTCCAGACACAGCACAGGGTGCCCGCTTTGCACTGCTGGCAGACAGGCCCCAGACACAGCACAGGGTGCCCACTTCCCACTGCTGACAGACGGGACCCAGACACAGCACAGGGTGCCCACTACCCACTGCTGGCAGACGGGGTCCAGACACAGCACAGGGTGCCCGCTTTGCACTGCTGGCAGACAGGCCCCAGACACAGCACAGGGTGCCCACTTCCCACTGCTGACAGATGGCCCCCAGACACAGCACAGGGTGCCCGCTTCCCACTGCTGACAGACGGGGCGCCGACACAGCACAGGGTGCCTGCTTCCCACTGCTAACACACAGGGCCCAGACACAGCACAGGGTGCCCACTTCCCACTGCTGGCAGACGGGGCCCAGACACAGCACAGGGTGCCCGCTTCCCACTGCTGACAGACGGGGCCCAGACACAGCACAGGGTGCCCACTTCCCACTGCTATCAGACGGGGTCCAGACACAGCACAGGGTACCCGCTTTGCACTGCTGGCAGACAGGCCCCAGACACAGCACAGGGTGCCCACTTCCCACTGCTGACAGATGGCCCCCAGACACAGCACAGGGTGCCCGCTTCCCACTGCTGACAGACGGGGCGCCGACACAGCACAGGGTGCCTGCTTCCCACTGCTGACCAGATGACCCCCAGACACAGCACAGGGTGCCCACTACCCACTGCTGGCAGACGGGGCCCAGACACAGCACAGGGTGCCCACTTCCCACTGCTGGCAGACGGGGCCCAGACACAGCACAGGGTGCCCGCTTCCCACTGCTGACAGACGGGGCCCAGACACAGCACAGGGTGCCCACTTCCCACTGCTATCAGACGGGGTCCAGAGACAGCACAGGGTGCCCGCTTTGCACTGCTGGCAGACAGGCCCCAGACACAGCACAGGGTGCCCACTTCCCACTGCTGGCAGATGGCCCCCAGACACAGCACAGGGTGCCTGCTTCCCACTGCTGACAGACGGGGCGCCGACACAGCACAGGGTGCCTGCTTCCCACTGCTAACACACAGGGCCCAGACACAGCACAGGGTGCCCACTACCCACTGCTGGCAGACGGGGCCCAGACACAGCACAGGGTGCCCACTTCCCACCACTGACACAGACAGGGCCCAGACACAGCACAGGGTGCCCACTTCCCACTGCTGGCAGACGGGGCCCAGACACAGCACAGGGTGCCCGCTTCCCACTGCTGACAGACGGGGCCCAGACACAGCACAGGGTGCCCACTTCCCACTGCTATCAGACGGGGTCCAGACACAGCACAGGGTGCCCGCTTTGCACTGCTGGCAGACAGGCCCCAGACACAGCACAGGGTGCCCACTTCCCACTGCTGACAGATGGCCCCCAGACACAGCACAGGGTGCCCACTTCCCACTGCTGACCAGATGACCCCCAGACACAGCACAGGGTGCCCACTTCCCACTGCTAACACACAGGGCCCAGACACAGCACAGGGTGCCCACTACCCACTGCTGGCAGACGGGGCCCAGACACAGCACAGGGTGCCCACTTCCCACTGCTGACAGACGGGGCCCAGACACAGCACAGGGTGCCCGCTTCCCACTGCTAACAGACAGGGCCCGGACACAGCACAGGGTGCCCACTTCCCACCACTAACACAGACAGGGCCCAGACACAGCACAGGGTGCCCACTTCCCACCACAGACACAGCACAGGGTGCCCACTTCCCACTGCTGACAGACGGGGCCCAGACACAGCACAGGGTGCCCACTTCCCACCACAGACACAGCACAGGGTACCCACTTCCCACTGCTGGCAGACGGGGCCCAGACACAGCGCACAGCAGATTTCGTTGTGGGGCCGGGGCTTGTGCCCACGGCCAGTAGTGAAGGGCAACCCGGGCCTGGTGTGGGGCGGGTGGGGTCCGGAGCCTCTGAGCCTGGTGCCGCTGATTGTTGGCTTCAGGTGTGGGGCCCGAGGCTGTGGAGGGACTCCGGGGGTGCTCACCAGGACACCGTGTTTGACCCTGTGGTCGCTCTGTAGATCCGAGAGACGGGGGAGAGACCCAGCAACGAGGAAATCATGCGCTTTTCCAAACTGTTTGAGGACGAGCTGACCCTGGACAGCCTCACGCGGCCGCAGCTGGTGGCGCTGTGCAAGCTGCTGGAGCTGCAGTCCATCGGCACCAACAACTTCCTGCGCTTCCAGCTCACCATGAGGCTGCGGTCCATCAAGGCCGACGACAAGGTGAGCGCCCAGGCGCCTGCCTCTGCCCGGTTGTAAGCATTCCGGTCCTGTCACTGCTGGGGCGGGACGCGGGAGGAGCCTGCAGGGCTGTGTGTCTACGGGAGGCAGCGTGGCCTCCGTGTTTGTGCATGCGGTGGCTGCTTGGTGGGCCATCGGCTGCGAGGTTGAACGTAGGTTATTGCCCTAGGCCCTTAAGGTGGTGGCCTAAGGGCAGGCATTGGCATGGTGGTGAAGGCCCCGGGCTGCATCCTGTTTTGCAGTGTCTGGGTTTCAGTCCTGCAGGGGCCAGCTCTGGGGGCGGAGCACACCTGGATTGGGGGCCCCAGAGGCCGATCCCTGTCGGGCCCCCTCTCCGTGCCGTGCAGCAGAGGACAGGGGCAGCCAGGTCACGGGATGCCGGTGCGCTCTTCTGAAGGAGGGACCCGCTGGCGCACCCTGGAGGCCACCTGTGGGGCCTTGTTGGCATTTGTCACAGCTGCATACCTGTCTACATTTGTCTCAGAAAGTCTGCTTTCCTAAAAAGATTGATTGATTTGAGAGTTACAGAGAGAGAGAGAGACATCTTCCATCTGTTGGTTCACTCCCCAGATGGCCACAACGGCCAGAGCTGTGCCGATCCAAAGGCAGGAGTCAGGAGCTTCTTCAAGGTCTCCCACGTGGGTGCAGGAGCCCAAGGACCTGGGCCATCCTCTACTGCTTTCCCAGGCCACAGCAGAGAGCTGGATCGGAAGTGGAGCAGCTAGAACTTGAACTGGCACCCATATGGGATGCTGGTGCTACAGGCAATGGCTTTACCCACTATGCCACAGTGCTGGCCCTGGAAAATCTAATTTTTAAAATGGGGTTGGTGTAGGGCCGGTACTGTGGTGTAGTGGGTTAGCCTACCACCTGTGGTGCCTGCATCCCATATGGGTGCTAGTTTGAGTCCTGGCTGCTCCACTTCCAATCCAGCTCTCTGCTGTGGCCTAGGAAATCCATGGAAGATGGCCGGGTCCTTGGGCCCCTGCACCCACGTGGGAGACCCAGAAGAAGCTCCTGCCTCCTGGCTTCAGATTGGCACAGCTCCAGCCTTTGCGGCCATTTTGGGAATGAACTAGTGGATAGAAGATCTCTCTCTCTCTCTCCAACTGCCTTTCAAATAAGTAAATAAATTTTTAATAATAATCATAATAAAAAATAAAACAGGACTGGGGATGCCACCTGTGTCCCCGGCTGGTGAGGAGGCTCGTGGGGTGAGAGGAGCTGTGGAGCCGCCTGGCCCAGACCAGCGGGCCTCTCCGTGTCTCCTCTCTCCTCACTGTCGCTGCCTGTGGGTGTCTGTTCTGCCTTTTCAAATTGGGGTCACCCTGACCTCGGGCAGAGGTGGGGGCGGGGAAGTCCCCTGAGGGTATGGGGCTGAGACAGCTTTAGAACGTGGGGAGTCGGGACCAGACGAGCGCCAGCGCCGCTGTGTCTCAGAGCCGTCCCTGGCCCTCTGCGCTTCCCAAAGCCCTGAGCCTGCCCGTGGTTCTGGTGCCGCGCGCCCAGAGCGGACCCTGCGGGGCCTTGTCTTGGACTTGCAAAGCCCGTTGGGAAAGTCACTTCTGATGGGGCGCTCCTTTCTGTTCCGTCAGCTGCGGCGAGGCGCCCAGCGGCCCCGCCCAGCGGCCTTGCCCAGCGGCCCTGCCCAGCGGCCCTGCCCAGCGGCCCCGCCCAGCGGCCCCGCCCAGCGGCCTTGCCCAGTGGCCACGCCCAGCGGCAATGCGCCCAGCGGCCCCGCCCAGCGGCAATGCGCCCAGCGGCCCCGCCCAGCGGCCACGCCCAGCGGCCACGCCCAGCGGCAATGCGCCCAGCGGCCCCGCCCAGCGGCCTTGCCCAGCGGCCCCGCCCAGCGGCAATGCGCCCAGCGGCCCCGCCCAGCGGCAATGCGCCCAGCGGCCCCGCCCAGCGGCAATGCGCCCAGCGGCCCCGCCCAGCGGCAATTTTCCCAGCGGCCCCGCCCAGCGGCCTTGCCCAGCGGCCTTGCCCAGCGGCCCCGCCCAGCGGCAATGCGCCCAGCGGCCCCGCCCAGCGGCAATGCGCCCAGCGGCCCTGCCCAGCAGCCCCGCCCAGCGGCCCCGCCCAGCGGCCTCGCCCAGCGGCCCCGCCCAGCGGCCCCGCCCAGCGACCCTTGGTGCTCTTTTGCAGCTGATTGCCGAGGAGGGGGTGGACAGCCTGAACGTCAAGGAGCTGCAGGCAGCGTGCCGGGCGCGGGGCATGCGGGCCCTCGGCGTCACGGAAGACCGGCTGCGGGAGCAGCTGAAGCAGGTGCGTGGCCACGCGCTGAGGGCGTGTGGGCGGTTGCCTCCAGCTCCGGGTGGGCGGGCCGGCCCTCGGTCCGCAGGCCCAGGTGCCCCGTGTCCTTCTGCCAGTGGCTGGGCACTGCTCTGCCCTCCATCTGCTTGTGGTGGCTGTGCTTCCGTTTGCTCTGGGTTTGGTTGGCTTCAGAGTGTCGTTTGCTCCTGCTGCCTGCTCCGATGCGGTGGTCACAGTCAGGCCGGCTGAGGTCTGCGTGCTGTGGCCCTGAGCAGTCCCCAGCGCCCGTGGGCTCGGGCCCAGCACATGCTGTCTTCGTCGGCAGCTCGAGCGCCTGCGTCGCAGTGCCAGGTTGTCTGGCGTCCGTGCCTCACATCGGAGGCGCAGGGTTTCAGCCCTACCACGGCCCACGCCCCCCTGCAGCCGCTCCCTCTTCCAGCCCCGCCCCCGTGCTGCAGGGGCCGCGACAGATCCCAGGCAGCGCCTTCTCCGGCCTTCAGCAGGCGCAGTGGGCCGTGAGCAGCTTTGCACAGCTGTGAGCGGGGTTCCCTGCCCGGACCGCTGGGCATCGGCCATGGGAGGCTGTGGCGGGTGGGGCCCCCAGGGGGCGCGCCTGTGCGCCTGCTGCCACGCCGGCCTTCCGCCTCCTCTTGGGTTTCTTCTCGTTTCCCCCGTGTTCAGTCTGAGTGCAAGCGTCGATCCCACCCTTTTTCTCCGTTTGAAGAGTGCCTTGGTGTCACTAGAGTGGCTTGCGACACCGCGTGGCCTGTGGGAGGCCTGCACGTGGTAGATGCAGCGCGCCTCCCCGGCCCCCGGTCATCAGTTTGCCGGGCTGTTGCTGAGTGCAGGGCGTGGCCGTCGCCTGCCTTGGAGGTGTGAGGCGACCGGGCAGACCAGCACCAGGCCCTGCCGGCCTCACCCTGCAGGCGGCGCCCCTCTCCTCCCCGGCCAAACCCAAGCAGCAGCAGAAAGCTCCAGGCGAAAAAGTGGGGTCCCCTCCCGGCGGTGTGGGCAGGCCGTGGGCGAGCTTCCCGGGACACGCGTGTTGGGTTCTAGTGGCTGGACCTTCACTTGCATCAAGAGATCCCCACGTCACTGCTGATCCTGTCCCGAGCCATGTACCTCCCGGACACCCTGTCGCCTGCCGACCAGCTCAAGTCCACGCTGCAGACCCTCCCAGAGAGTGTGGTACGTGCGGGCAGCCCTGGCAGCACCCGGGCCCATGCGTGCACCCACTCCTCTGCCGGCCCTCACGTGGCAGTCGCTCAGCGCCTGGGCAGGTGGGAGACGCGGCGTGGCCAGCATTTGCTGTGCTGTGCCCGTCCTTTCTGCGCTCCCGGGGGTCTGGGCACAGAAGGTGACCCTGGAGTGCGGGGCGGGGGGCGCGGGGGCTGCGCCTCTGGGGCTCGCTCACGGCCTCGCTTCTCTTGGCAGGCCAAGGAAGCCCAGGTGAAGGCAGCGGAGGTGGAAGGCGAGCAGGTGGACAACAAGGCCAAGCTGGAGGCCACGCTGCAGGAGGAGGCGGCCATCCGGCAGGAGCACCGGGAGAGGGAGCTGCGGGAGGCAGCCCAGGCGGCAGAGGCGGTGGTGAGCGGCTGGCTGGGGCCCGAGCCGTCCTGACGCGGCTCCCTGGAATCGGCCCGTGTCCGTGCTGTAGGACCCCCACCTCTGCTTCACTTGTGTTGTCCTTCCGAGTGCAGAGTGGGGTAGGAGTGCCGGGGGCCGGAGCTCAGGAGGGGCTCCCCAGGGAGAGCGCCGCAGAGGACGGCACTGGGCTGTCGCCTTCACTCTTCGTGCCAGTCGGCACCTGGGTTGAGGGTTACCGTGGGGGCCTTCCTACTCCTCAAGCCCTTTGTCCTGGGCTCCCCCAGAGGTGGGCTGCACCTGCTCCTTGAGCACAGAGGCCCTGGTGGGTCACAGGCTCCCTGCGCTGTGCTGGCCCCGGGTGACTGGGTCCATGGTGGACTTAGCCGGCGGTGCTCTGCTGTCAGCCCCCAGGCCCTTAGCCTTGGCCAGCAGCACGCACGCTGTGTGTGGAGCCCGCGGCCAGGCTGCCGAGTAACTGCAGGTGTGCCTCCGGCCTTTCAGAAGGACGTCGAGCCGGAAGGAGTGGAAGCTGCCCCCGGGAGGCCAGAGGCCAAGCTGCAGCCAGAGGCCCCGGATGTGATCCTGCCGTCCGAGGTTCTGAAGGACACTGCACCTGTGCTGGATGGCCTGAAGGTGAGCCGCACCGTTCCGGGGAAGGAGGCCTGGGCTCCTGGCAGCAGGCCAGGGGCGTCCCTGGGCAGCTGGAGCCCTGTGAGTGGGGGCCGGAACAGGCAGCTCCAAGCTTTGGGCACCAGGTCTTGGCGATAAGGCCACTACAGCTTTGGTGCCAGCCCACGGAGGCCCACCTGGTGTCACCTGCCGGGCACCTGTGACATGCGTCGCATCCCGCAGGCACATGCCTTATAGTGCCTCAGCTCCCATCCAGAACCCCCAGCAGGCTCCAGACACGCAGCCCTCAGGGTGCCGTGGGCACAGGAAGAAGGCGGAGCCTGGCAGCCAAGTGGGAGACACACCTGAGCCAGAGGCCACATGTGGCCCAGACAGGAGTGGCCTGCGCGGGGAGGCGCGGGGCACAGCTGAGGGCTCCTGGGCAGGGTGGGTGGGCGGTGCCCTTGCTAGGAGCAGTGCCAGGAGGGGCGGGGGGACCTGTCACAGGGACCTTAGAGGACTGAGGGGCAGGGGCCTAGGTGAGGGCCGCAGGAGAGGCGTCCTCAGGACGGGACCAGGCCCGAGTCCTGTGACGAGCGCAGCGGAGAAAGCCCGCAGCTCCCTGGGGAGGCGAAGCCTCGCGGCAGCCCCTTTGGAACACAGCCCCACACAAGGGAGGGGGGATTCCCGTGCCAAAGGCCCGGGGAAGGCGCATGCCCACCTGCTGAGGGTCCTCAGCCCCACGACAGCCGAGAGCGTGGTCAAGGCTGGAAGAAGGCCAGTGCGGGCGGCACTTCTGGGGATCCTGGCCAAGCTGTCCTTAGCCCCACCCGGCACTTTGCTCACCGAGGGTGGCCGGGAGACGATGGGGGCCGAGCACTCCTCCAGAAGTGGGGTGCTGGGCTGCCAGGGCTCAGACGTAAGGGGCACAGGGTTGGGGTGGGTGGCAGCACAGGCTTCTGGAAGGATCCGCGCGGCCGGCCAGCACGAAGGACAGCCTGTGTGCTCCGGGAAGCAGCTGAGCCCCTCCCCCAGCGAGTCCCCTGGGCTGCAGGGAAGTTCAGAGTCGGCAGGAGGCTCCCCACTCGGGAAGATTCGTGTACTTGAAGAGCCGAGCGACAGGGGGCGATCTTCCCCACTGCTTGCCCTCCCCAGATGGCCACAGCAACCAGGGGTCCTGCTCTCACACGTGCGTGGCCGGGGCCAGCATGCGGGCCGCCTTCCGCTGCCTCCCAGGCGCACGAGCAGGGGCTGGGTCGGCTGACACGGGCTGATGCCGTGACACCCGGGCCCTGAGGGCTTCTCAGAAGCACGAGCCTTTCAGAAGTCACGCGGATGATGTGGTCGTGGGAGAGAAGCTGTGCAGAGCGGGAGAGGCAGGCCCTGCCCCGAGCGAGCGAGCGGGAGAGGCAGGCCCCTGCCCCGAGCAAGTGCACGCCGGCCGTTCCCGCGGGACCTGCCTTGCTCGGAGGTCCCGCGGGTGCTGAGTTTGTGTGAGACCAGCATCGAGGGTCGAAGTTCGTGACGGGCAGGAAAGTGCGTGGAAACACCGTAGCCCGCTTGTTTTGTGGACGGGCGTGGCCTGCACTCATGCATTTGTTCAGAGCATAAGAATCGGCTGCAGGGGCTGGCGCTGTGGCATAAGTCGGTGCCTGCAGTGCCGGCATCATGTGGGCACCGGTTCGGATCCCAGCTGCTCCACTTCCGATCCAGCTCTCTGCTGTGGCCTGGGAAAGCGGTAGAGGATGGCCCAAGTCCTTGGGCTCCTGCACGCATGTGGAAAACCAGGAGGAAGCTCCTGGCTTTGGATTGGCCCAGCGGCCATTGTGGCCATTTGGGGAGTGAACCAGCAGCAGGAAGGTATTTCCCTCTGTCAACTTTGCATTTCAAATAAATAAGTAAATTTCTTTTTTAACAGTGAATTTTAGAATTTTTTTTTAAATTATTTACTTATTTAAGAGTCACAGACAGGGAAAGAGAGAGGGACAGAGGAAGAGAGAGGGAGAGAGAGGAGAGAGGGAGAAGGAGAGAAGGAGGGAGAGAAAGAGAGAGAGAGAGGTCTTCCATTTACTGGTTCAGTCCCCAGATGGCCACAGCAGCTGGAGTGAGCCGATCCAAAGTCAGAAGCCAGGAGCTTCTTCCAGGTCTCCCATGTGGGTACCTAGGACTTGGGCCATCTTCCACTGCTTTCCCAGGCCCATCAGCGGAGAGCTGGATCGGAAGTGGAGCAGGTGGGACTTGAGCTGGCGGCCATATGGGATGCTGGTGCTGCAGGCTGGAGCTTTAGCCCACAGCACCACAACGCTGGTCCTCCAATAAGTAAATCCTAAAAAAGAAAGGAAGTAGAGCAGCCAAGAGTTGAACTGGTGCCTGTGTGGGATGCTGGCGTGGCAGGTGGCAGCTTCACCCCTTGCACTAAAACACCAGCCCTGGGACCAGCGCCGTGGCTCACTTGGCTAATCCTCTGCTTGCGGCGCCGGCATCCCATATGGGCACCGGTTCTAGTCCCAGTTGCCCCTCTTCCAAGCCAGCTCTCTGCTGTGGCCCGGGAAGGCAGTGGAGGATGGCCCAAGTGCCTGGGCCCTGCACACCATGGGAGACCAGGAGAAGCACCTGGCTCCTGGCTTCGGATCGGCGCAGCACTGGCCGTGGTGGCCATTTGGGGAGTGAACCAATGGAAGGAAGACCTTTCTGTCTCTCCCTCTCACTGTCTATAGCTCTACCTGTCAAATTAAAAAAAAAAAAAAACAAAACAAAACAAAACAGCTCCTATTTGTTTTCAAGGTTATTTTATTTATTTGAAAGGCAGAGTTACAGAGAGAGAGATCTTCATCTGCTGGTTCACTTCTCAAATGGCGTCAGGATGGGGCTGAGCCAGGCCAGAGCCAGGAGCCAGAAACTCCATCCAGCTCTCCCGTGTGCGTGGCAGCGGCCCAGGCGCTTGGGCCGTCTTGTGCACCTTCCCAAGCACGTTAGAGGGGCTGGATCAGAAGTGGTCCTCGTGGGGGGGGGGGGTGCCTCAGCGCCAGCCCTCACGGCAGCTCCACTGCACGTGTGTGTCGGTAGTTGACTGCTGTGTCCAGCAGGCCCGGTACGTGGGCGTGAGCTGAGAACGGGTGAGAGAGGACCAGACGCAAGGAGGGAGGGAGGTGTCCCTGCTCTGGGCTCCGCGGCGCACGGAGCCTGCCCGATGGAGGAGCCAGCCACTCCCTCTGCTCACGCCCCGTCTCCCCCCAGGAGGAGGAGATCACCAAGGAGGAGATCGACCTCCTGAGCGACGCCTGCTCCAAGCTGCAGGGGCAGCAGAAGCCCCTGACCCGGGAGAGGGAGGAGCTGGAGCTGCTGAAGGGGGACGTCCAGGACTACAGCGAGGTGGGCACGGCCGCGGGCACTGCAGGGGAGCACCAGTGTGAGCACGGGGTACAGCCGCGGGCACCGCAGGGGAGCACCAGTGTGAGCACGGGGTATAGCCGCGGGCACCGCAGGGGAGCACCAGTGTGAGCACGGGGCTCAGCCGGGGCCAGGGGAGCACCAGTGTGAGCACGGGGTATAGCCGCGGGCACCGCAGGGGAGCACCAGTGTGAGCACGGGGCTCACCGGGGCTGGGGGAGCACCAGTGTGAGCACGGGGTACAGCCGCGGGCACCACAGGGGAGCACCAATGTGAGCACGGGGTACAGCCGTGGGCGCCGCAGGGGAGCACCAGCTGTGAGCGCGGGGTACAGCCGCGGGCACCGCAGGGCAGCACCAGCTGTGAGCACGGGGCTCACCGGGGCGGGGGAGGACCAGCTGTGAGCACGCGGCTCAGCCAGGGTGGGGGGAGCACCAGTGTGAGCACGGGGCTCACCGGGGCGGGGGAGGACCAGCTGTGAGCACGCGGCTCAGCCAGGGTGGGGGGAGCACCAGTGTGAGCACGGGGCTCACCGGGGTGCGTGTGTATTGACTCAGTCGGGAGGCAGAGCGAGCTCCCACCAACGCCCCGGTTTTTCACGAATGCTTGCTGGTGGTTTTCCGCAGCCGCTCTGGCTGGGCCTCTCTGCTCGGGGGTCCACACCCTGCTGTGCAAGTGTCAGGACTGGTGCCACCAGGGTGACTCAGAAGGGGGTGAGGCGCCGCGTGCCGGCAGCTAGCAGCCCCCTCTGTCGATCGCGTTAGGACCTGCAGGAGATCAGGAAGGAGCTCTCCAAGACCGGGGAGGAGAAGTACGTGGAGGAGTCGAAAGCCAGCCAGCGCCTGACGAAGAGGGTGCGGCACATGATCGGGCAGATCGACGGCCTGATCGCGCAGCTGGAGGCGGGGCCGCAGGCCGGCTCGCCGGGCCCCGCCTCGGCCACCTCCACGGGGTGAGTGTTGGGACTGGCGCCCGCCTCCAGGTGCTTTGCCGGGACCTGAGCTCGGGCCTTTCCGACCCGGTTGCCGTGTGGCCGCTGTGCCTGGGTGCCCTCCGCCTGCGGCCCAGGCTCCTTCACTCGCACCTTCTTGGGGTCCTTGTGGTGGTCCTGATGACCTCGTCCACGCCCACCCCCAGCTGTGGGGCCCGCTCCCGCTGCGCCCTCCCCAGGCACACCCCACCGGGCATCCCAGCACGGAGCCAAGCGCCAGCTCTGCCCTAGGGCAAGCGGCCTGGCTGCTGGAGTCCTGTTGCTGCCCCAGGCCCCTGCTCCCGTCACCTCCCTGAGCTTGAGGAAGCAGCGGCCAGGGCCACCACAAGAGGGCTCCCCCGCCCTCGGCGCCCGGGCCGGGGGGGGGGGGGGGGCAGACTCGCACGGGAGGCCCTGGGGCAGTGCGTTGCTCATCGCAAGGGAGGGCGCAGGTGAGGACAGCGTGGGAGCTCTGGGTGGTGGGGCCGCGGGCAGGGACCCCGGCGTCACGCAGGCTGTACCTGACACCCCACCCCCGTGCAGGGAGAACGTCATCAGTGTCACGGAGCTCATCAGTGCCATGAAGCAAATCAAGGACATTCCGGAGAACAAACTGCTCAGTCTGGCCTCAGCCCTGGGGGAGCACAAGGACGGCAAGGTCAACATCGACGACCTGGTCAAGGTGGGTGTCGGGGCGGCACCTGCCCCCGAGGCCTTGGCTGCAAGTGAGCATCAGCCCGCCAGGTCCCCCGTGGTTCTCCACAGGGCGCCGGCTCCGCTCCCGCAGCGCTTGGCCGCCGCCAGGAGACACCGGGGCTGTCCCTCAGGGCCCCGAGCCAGCCTGCGAGGTGGCAGGCACAGGCGGCTTCAGCAGAGTCGTGGGGAAGGGGCCCCTGGCCCCCAGCTCCAGCCCCCAGCTCCTCCCCAGCAGGGGCAGGGGTGAGCCTGGGGTGTGCACACCTGCTGCCGTCTCCACCTGGGGCCTGAGAGGGCAGCCCAGGAGGCCTGGGGCAGCGGCTGCGTGGGAGCAGTGACCTGGGCTGGGCTGGCCCGCCTCACTGTTCCTGCTCTGAGAGGGAGTCCGGCAGCTGCGTGCTTTTCCCGACGTGTGTGCACCGTCTCCAAGACGGCATCGGACACGCGCGCCGAGCCCACCCCTCCTCGGTGTGCGGGCGTGCGCAGAGGTGTGCTGTGCTGGCCAGGGCCCCTCCCCGGTGTGTAGAACCAGGCCCGGCCTCTGGGGGGCTGGGGGCCTCGGGGGGCACGGTGCGGAGGACAGCCTGCGTGCTGGGCCGGCGCCACGCTGAGACCCTCTGTCCCTTCCTGTGTGGCAGGTGATCGAGTTGGTGGACAAAGAAGACGTGCAGGTCTCCCCCAGCCAGGTGGCCGAGATCGTGGCGACGCTGGAGAAGGAGGAGAAGGTGGAGGAGAAGGAGAAGGCCAAGGAGAAGGCGGAGAAGGAGGCGGCCGAAGCGAAGAACTAGGCTGCCCTGGCTCGGCCACGCCGCCCACGCCTGCCCGTCCCGCACTGGCCGCGCGAGTGGCACGTCTCGGATTGTGTCTGGAATAAATCAGAAACTTCCGTAATCAAGTCATTTTTAATTTTCATCATTCCATGAAGATCAAGTCAGTGTGGAATCCCCAAGCCCTTCCAGGGAGGCCGTGTCTGGACGCACACTGGCTCGGGCCAGGCTGGACAGGAGGCCGCCTCCCCGAGTATGCCCTCTGTCCCCGCAGGAGAGCCCAGGTGGGCAGCGGCACCAGCAGGGAGTCGGCGGACACACTTGGCCGCCCCGCCCTGGACGCCGGTGCAGAGTCTGCGAGCAGTCACGTCCGTCCTGCCAGCCCTGTGCCAGCCGCGTGCCAGCCCCGGCGTGTGTTGGTTGACCTTTGATTTTCCCCCAGTCCTGTAGCCCATCAGCTGCGATGTCGGTGGTGGCCAGAGACGCCAGCAAGTGCTTCTGTCCAGTGCCCGGCAGGGCTTCCTGCGGCTTCTCCTCAGCCCTCAGCCAGCGCTGGGCGGGACCTCGGCCCCTGTCCCACGTGGGGGCCATGGAGAGCAGCCTCCCTGCACCCCACTCGTCCTTACAGAGGGTCCCAGACGTGACGCCGGGACCTGAGGCTTTTCTTGGGAACCTGGCAGAACAGGCGTCGGAGGGCGCCTTTGGCTCGAGCCGCACTCGGAGTTGTTGGGAAGGAGCAGGGGTGGGGCCTGGTGTTGAGCCCCTCCCTCAGCGCGGGCCGCGGCCTCTCCACTGGTTGGTTTCCCTGAGTTGGCTTTATTTATTGCAGCAGAGAGCGTGTCCAGGGACAGGCCCGAGACGCGCCCCAGAAATGAGGGGTGTGTGATGGGTTTCTGTTGAAGGCGCTGCCTTGGGGAGGGCTTTGCGTGCTGGGACGGCCGTGCCTCGAGTCTCCCACGCCCCCCACGCGCCCACTGCCCACGTGATCGTGAGCCTGGCCTGTGGCCTGCAGAGCCGAGTGGGTCCGTCTGGACTCCACACATCCAGGGCACCGTCTGTTATAGACGACCCGGCAGTGGTTCTCACGGGGGGTCTTGGGGCCGGCAGGAGGCAGCCCTGTGCTGTGTGCCAGGCCGCATGAGAACACGGGGACCTGGGGGTCTGCTTTGGTGATGGTGGTGTGGGCCGGGACTGGTGCCACGCCAGCCCCTCAGCCTGGGTCCAGCAGCCCGGCCTTGCCTTCGGCTTCCTTCGATGGTAGCCGCCTTACGTAGCTTCAGGCCCGTCCAGGCCTCCTGCCCGTGCCCCTGCCTGCCTGCTGGGCCGCAGGAGGCCTCTGGCCAGTCGTTACAGTCCGTGCCTCACTGGCCTGGGCCCTGTGCTAGCAGCCAGCGTGTGGTGGTGATTTCTAGACTTTGATGTAGGAATGATTTAATAAAAAGTGCTGTCTCATTGTCTGCCTGGTGACAGTTTGTCCAAGCTGTGGCCGCACTGCCTGGTCGTTCTCCAGGGCTCCCCGCGCCCCACTCGACTGCTGCCCAGGGACCTCGGGGTGGGTGCTGCCACCTCAGAGAGAACCCAGGCTCAGGTGGGCCAGTGCTGCCCAAGGACCCAGCTGGGAGGTCTCAAGACACCTGAGAGACCTGTCGGGGGCTAGGCCCCATCTGTGGGTGCCTGGGAGGGCAAGGGGAGGGTCCCAGCAGCAGGACAGGCATGGCATCTGCCTCCTGACTCCCTGTCCCGTCTGTGGGCAGACTGCCACCCCCAGCCCAGGACAGCCCCTCCCCACTGCCAGAGATGCCTGTGGGCTTCGTTCCTGGTTCCCTGGACTGGGTGTGTTCATGCCCACGGGTCCACCCTTGGAGCCAGGCCTGAGGATATAAGGTGCCTGAGCCGGACCACAGTGGGTGGCTGAGCTGGCCCCGGCTGCACCTGCTGGCCACAGCAAGGACAGTGGATGTCCAGGCCAGAGGAAGCTGGCTGTGAGCAGTGAACAGAGACCCAGCAGCCATGGCAAGTCTGGAGACCGCTGTGGGAATAGTGGAGGACGGCCCTGCCTCCCTGGGCATCCTGCGACGTGGGGGCACACGTTGGGTAGTACAGGATGCAGCTGCCCCGATGCAGCACTAGGGGGCGCCCGAGCCACATCCTGAGCCCTGCCTCTGCCTGCCCGAGGGGGTCACAGCCCAGGGCTGCCGGGCCTGTCTCCACCCCGCCTCGGCCCCTGCTGCCAGGTGAGGCCTGTGCTGCCCAGGCCGTCCTGGCCCGTCAGCGTTAGCACAGCCAGGCTGGCCCCTGGGTCCCCAGGACGTGGTCTTGGGGCAGGCTGGAGGGGAGGGGGTGAGGGCCTGCACAGGGCTGAGGGTGTGGGGGTTAAGCAGCCCTTGTGAGTGCCCCCCCACCAGGCTTGTAGCTGCCCCCAGACCACAGACTTCCTGGGGGTTTGGTGGGATCAGTGACCCAGAACCAAGACTCTGACAGCCTCCCCTGAGAGGTGAGCAGGCAGCAGAGGGCACCCCTGCCCCCGGGCAGGCCTCCAGGAAGCCGCCTCAGCCTGCCCACCACAGGCGGCCCTGCTGCCTACCCCCACCCCGGCCCTCGGCTTCCCGGCGGCGGCTGAGGCAGGGCCCACCCAGCAGCATTTGTCCAGACAGGCCTGGGAGGGCCAGGGGAGCCGGCAGGACTGGAGCAGCCGCCACCCTCCCAGGGGTGTGGCCGGAGTCAGTGGGGCCAAGCAAGGGCTCAGAGCAGCTCCCGAAGCCACCCCGCCCCTGAGTGAACCCGGGGCTGGGCCGCTGAGCTGGGGGCAGCCACAGGGCTCCACGGCCCACGCCCCGGGGACACTGCTCCTGCCGTCCCCAGCCTCCGGCCCCCAGCCTCAGTTCTGCCTGCCAGCAGCGGGGGCCTGGGAGCGTCCTCACCCTCACTGCCCCTCTCATGGGGACACCTGACAGGCAGCGGGAGGGGACAGGGACTGCCCAGGGTCCCGAGACAACAGAAGCGAGGAGGCACCAGGCAGAGCTCGGAACCGGTCGTCTTTATGTTCTGGAAAGTCCGTCGGCTGGGTTAACACAGCCACACCCACCACCGGGGCCTGGCAGCCCTGCCCACTGGGCCACTGGGCCCCGCCCGCTGGCCGCCGCTGGCCGTGCAGGGACAGCCGGCCACCCAAACAGTACAAAAGGAAGAAACTCGACCGGCAGCTTTCACTCCCAAGCTTTGAAAAGTAGCAGCCCAGGCTGTAAAAGTCTAGAAGCGTTGCGCAAGAAGTGTTAAGTCTACGGCAAATGCACCTTGTAAAAACGCAATAAATTATAGATATAGATAGATATAAACTTGTAACATCTGACAACGTGGAGCCTGCACGCAGGGCCGGCTCCCCGCCCCGCCCGGCACAGGCAGCAATTAGAAGCAGGGTTGGTGTGGAAATACCAGCTTGCCTTGAAGTCAAAAAACCAAATCCCCTCCAGAAATCTCATTTCCCGCCAGGGACGGCCGAGGGGAACGAGCCGTCCGCACGGCTCCACCTCCGCGGCGAGCGCCGGGCCTCGGCCGGCTCGGCTGTGAATAAGTTAAAAGGGGCCGGGGCGGGGCCGGGGGTCTGGGGGGCCGATAAATATCCAGGTCCAGGTACAATTTTTAGAACAAAACTGCAGTGCCAGGAAATCCCTCGCGCCCCGCGGGCCTCTGCGTGGGCGGCGCCAGCGGCCCCCTCCTCCCGGACGCGGAGGTCCACACTCGCGCGCGTCTGGAAGAAGCCTGCCGGGCAGAGGCCAGGCTGCCGCCCTCAGGTACCCGTAATCTGGCTCGGAGCCCCCGGGCAGGGCAGGCTCAGCTCGGGCCCGGCCGCTCCTCCCTCCCAGGGGTCTGGCGGCGGGGGTGGGGGGCGTCCCCTACATTCTACTTCTGGTCCCCTCCGTGCTGCTGTCCTTGTCCGCGGCCTCGGGACAGCCACACACGCACACACGCGCGCACACACGCACACGCACGCGCACCCGAGGCCAGGGCACTGGGCAGCGGCGGCAGGGTGGGCTCTCACAGGCCTGGGGCGCCCGGCCCTTCAAGTCCGCGGGCCCCCGCTGCTGGGGGGCGCGGGGGGCAGCAGGTCGTGGGTGAACACGGAGTCGTCCCCGGAGGAGCTGGCGCTGGGGCTGTCCTGGCCGCCCGGGGAGTACTGCTCGAAGGGCGCCGACAGGTCCAGGTACTCCTGCGGGCGCGGGCGGGGGCGGGGGCGGGTCAGCGGCCGCCATGCCGGCCCCGCCCCCCGCCCCCCGCCCCCAGCCCGGGCGTCCGGCACTCACGTCAGTGGACGTCACGGTGAGGACGCGGTCCAGGTCCTCCACGAGCTGCTTGAAGGTGGGCCTCTGCGAGGGCGCCGCGTGCCAGCACTCCCGCATGATCATGTACCTGCGGGTGGGGGGCGCTCAGGCGTGCGGGCGGGGCGGGGCGGGGCGGGGCGGGGGCGGCGCGGCGCTCACAGGTCGTGCGTGCAGTTGGCCGGCTTGTCCATGCGGTGGCCCTCTCTCAGCAGCTTGAACAGTTCCTCCACAGGGATGCCGGGGTACGGCGAGCCCCCCAGCGTGAAGATCTCCCAAAGCAGGACCCCGAAGGACCAGCTGGGGGCAGGGCGGAGGTCAGCCGCCCAGCCCAGGCCAGCTCCGGCTCCGCCCCCACCCGCCACCCCGGGCCAGCTCCGGCTCCGCCCCCAGACACCTACACATCGCTCTGGTGGGTGTAGACGCGGTCAAACAGGGCCTCGGGCGCCATCCACTTCACGGGCAGCCTGCCCTGTGAGGGGAGGGGGGGGCGAGGCTGTTGGCGGGGGCACGCGGCGGGCACCAGGCCCCCCGCCCCGGGCCGGGCTCACATTGGTGGTCTTCTTGTAGTAGTCGAGGTTGTGCACGTCGCGGGCCAGGCCGAAGTCCGCGATCTTCATCACGTTGTCCTCGGTCACCAGCACGTTGCGGGCGGCCAGGTCCCTGTGGATGCACTGGGGGCGGGGGAGGGGTCAGGGTCAGCACCCCGCGGCCAGGTCCCCGTGGATGCACTGGGGGCGGGGGGGGGGTGGTCAGGGTCAGCACCCCGCGGCCAGGTCCCTGTAGATGCACTAGGGCCGGGGGTGGGGTCAGGGTCAGCACCCCGCGGCCAGGTCGCCGCAGCTGCGCTGGGGGCGGGGGAGGGGGGTCAGGGTCAGCACCCCGCGGCCAGGTCCTTGTGGATGCACTGGGGGCGGGGGGGGGGGTCAGGGTCAGCACCCCGCGGCCAGGTCCCCGTGGCTGCGCTGGGGGCGGGGGAGGGGGGTCAGGGTCAGCACCCCGCGGCCAGGTCCCCGTGGCTGCGCTGGGGGCGGGGGCGGGGGGTCAGGGTCAGCACCCCGCGGCCAGGTCCCCGTGGATGCACTCGGGGCGAGGTGGGGAGTCAGGGTCAGCACCCGGCAGCGCACCCTCTAGAGGGGCAGCCAGTTCCCCGCGGCTGCACTGGGGGCGGGGGGGGGGGTGTCAGGGTCAGCACCCCGCGGCCAGGTCCCCGTGGATGCACTGGGGGCGGGGGAGGGGGGTCAGGGTCAGCACCCCGCGGCCAGGTCCCCGTGGATGCACTGGGGGCGGGGGTGGGGTCAGGGTCAGCACCCCGTGGCCAGGTCCCTGTGGATGCACTGGGGGCGGGGGGGGAGGTCAGGGTCAGCACCCCGCGGCCAGGTCCTTGTGGATGCACTGGGGGCGGGAGGGGGGGTCAGCACCCGGCAGCGCACCCCCTGGGCGAGCAGGTCCTTGTGGATGCACTGGGGGCGGGGGAGGGGTCAGGGTCAGCACCCGGCAGCGCACCCCCTGGGCGAGCAGGTCCCTGTGGATGCACTGGGGGCGGGGGGGGGGGGTCAGCACCCGGCAGCGCACCCCCTGGGCGAGCAGGTCCCTGTGGATGCACTGGGGGCGGGGGGAGGGGTCAGGGTCAGCACCCGGCAGCGCACCCTCTGGGCGGCCAGGTCCCTGTGGATGCACTGGGGGCGGGGGGGGGGGTCAGGGTCAGCACCCGGCAGCGCACCCTCTGGGCGGCCAGGTCCCCGCGGCTGCACTGGGCTGGGGGCGGGGTCAGGGCTCAGCGTCGCTCTCGCACACGCACACGCACTCCGACCCCGCCCGCCACGCACCTTCTGCGAGGCCAGGTACTCCATGCCCCGGGCCACCTGGTAGGCGCAGGACACCAGGTCCTTGAAGGTGAGCTGCTCCTCGGGCAGCCTGCAGGTGTCGAACGAGTAGTCCATGCCCGGAGGCCGGCGCGCCCGCAGGTACTCCCGCAGGTTGCCCTTGGCCGCGAACTCCACCAGCACGTACAGGGGCCCTGCGGGCACCGGGCGCAGCGCTCAGCCCAGCTGACCCGGGGGGTAGGGGGGCTGCGCTACGCAGAGGGTCATGGGAGCCGCGGGGAGCGCCCACCCTGCGTAGGAACCCCGCCCGCCCCTCCGCCCCGCCCCGCCCCCCGCCCTGCGTGCAGGCCCCGCCCCGCCCCGCGTGCAGGCCCCGCCCCGCGTGCAGGCCCCGCCCCACCCCGCCCCGCCCCCACCCTGCGTGCAGGCCCCGCCCGCCCCTCCGCCCCGCCCCGCCCCCGCCCTGCGTGCAGGCCCCGCCCCGCCCCGCCCCGCCCCGCCCCGCGGCTCCTACCGCCCCGCGTGCAGGCCCCGCCCCGCCCCGCCGCGCCGCTCCTACCGCCCTGCGTGCAGGCGCCCAGCAGGTTGATGATGTTCTTGTGCTTCCCGATCATCTTCATCATCTCCATCTCCGACACCAGGTCCGACAGGTCTTTGTCGGTGGCATCGTCTGCGGGCGCGGGGGGCGCGTCAGGCGGCGCCCACACCCCGCCCCGCCCCGCCCCGCCCGGGCGCCCCTCCCGCTCACCTTTCAGCATCTTCACGGCCACGGTGACGGGCTTGGCGGCCCGGTCCTTGTCGATGCCGATGGCCTCGGCCATGACCACCTGGCCGAAGCAGCCCTCTCCCAGGGGCTTCCCGAGGGTCAGCCTGGCGGCGGAGAGAGACTCCATGCAGCAGGGCCCGCGCCCGCGGCCCGCCCCGCCCCCGCAGCCCGCCCGCCGCCGCCACTGACCGGGCCCGGGACAGCTCCCACTGCGGGTCGGCGGGCAGCTCGAGCTCGGACACGTTGGCCAGCGTGGGCCCCTCGGCGGAGGACAGCCGCGCCACGCGCACCAGCGGCGTCGTGGAGTTCATGGACGAGCTGGACTCCAAGGACACCTGCTTGGGTCGGCAGGGGCAGGTTGGGGCCGCACGGCGGGGGCGGGGCGGGGCGGGGCGGCGGCGCTGGAACCTCGTAGCTACTTTCTGTTACCTGGCGCTTCAGCGGGAAGCGGGACACCTTGTGCACCGTCGGGGAGCCCAGCCCCTTCTTGGGGGGGCTGTGCAGGCGGCAGAGCGTCACGGCGCCCACCACCAGGATGAAGAGGAAGAAGCCCGCGCCGTAGCTGAGGACGCCCGCGTACACGCTGCCCGCCTCGCCGGCCGCCGCCAGCTCCTCCTCGGCTGCAAAGACACGGGCGTTGGGACCCCAGCGTCGGGGGGGACCCTGTCGTGCGGAGGCCGCTGCTGCGGTCGCGGTGGCCTGGGAGTCAGGAGGGGGCAGGCCCGGGAGCAGAGAGCCCAGCAGAGCCAGCGCGGCCGCACCACCACCCAGGCGCAGGGGAGACGCGGGAGCGGCCGCTGCGCGGGGCTGGGAGCCCCCGACCGAGCCGGCGGCTCCCGCGTGCCCGAGCCAGCGGCCCGAGAGTACAGGAGCAGAGCGAGCAGCAGCAGCAGCGAGAACCAGTACCTGGCAGCACCACCAGCCACGCAGAGTGATGGGAAAACCCGATAGAATTGCCCGCCAGGCACGTGTACTCCCCCGCATCCTCAAAGGTGACATTGCGCAAAGACAGAACCTCTAGCTCCTTGTCGGTGGTGTTAGCGCCCGCCGTCTAGGAGAGAGAACAGAGCGATAGGCCAGGGCCAGCACCGCCCCACGGGCCCGCGCCAGAGTCCACGACGATCCAGCCAGGCTGCAAGGAAAACGCGCCACCGCCACCTCGGCCGCCGCCACCTCGGCCGCGGCCACGGCCCCGAGGGCCCTCCGCCTCGTGCGTCCGCTCCGAGCCCGAAGCCAGTCCCTCCACCGGCGAGTCCTCTGTCCCAGGGGAGCGTCAGGCGGGCGGGAGCCGGCATGCGGGGTTAGCGCGGGCGGGGGCCGGGGTGGGCAGGCAGGCGCGGGCAGGCGCGGGCAGGCGCGGGGCACACGCAAGCAGGTGGCCGGCGGGGCCAGGGGAGCAGGCGCTCGGAGGGCCTGCCGGGGATGCTGGGGGCGTGGGCGGGGTCGGCACGGCCGCGGGGCGGGGCTCGAAGCAGGTGGTCTGGGCAGGCAGGCTGGCGCTGCTGCCGGTGTTGCGGGCGGAGCGGGCGGCAAGGGCGCAGGGCAGGGAGCGAGCGGGACGGGGGACGTGCGGGGCGTGCAGGCAGGCGACGCCAGGGCGCTGGAGCTGGAGCTCCGCGTGCCAGGCAGGCGTGGGACAGAGTCGTTACCTGCTTGGGGCCCGTGAACACGCAGCCAAAAGGCCTTCTCGGCCACGCCTATGAAATTGGTGGCTCTACAGAGGTACTCGCCCCCGTCCCGCTCCGACACATTGGCCAGACGCAGGCGCGCGTCGGCCTCCACATTCTCACTGATCCAGGACTGCGGGGGACAAGAGACCCGGCTCAGGGGGGGGCAGCCCCTGCGAGCGAGCCGGGAGGGCCGCCTGGAGGAGGTGTGGAGGCGCCCCAAGGCGGCAGCGGGCTGTGCTTTCGCAAGACGGGGCTGGGCCGGGCTCCCCACCCCGGCAGGCCGGCATCTCACGGAACAGATGTTTCTCTTTGGGCTCTGAGTGTCGCAAGCTCCCAACTCGGGTGGCCCCCACCCCTGTGGCCGCGGGAACAAAGCAAGGGGGGGAGCACCAGGGGGGGCCCGCGGCAGCGACTGCCAGTCAGGGCCAGCTCTGCTCCGCGGCGCCACCCTGCTGTCCCCCTGGACAGGCTCAGGCGGCGCAGCACGGCGAGGCGCGGGCCTCGGCTTCGCCTCCCCACCGTCAGCAGGGCGATCTCGGGCGTGCCATCCGTGCCTCGCCCCCATCCCAGCAGCCAGTGGCGCCCACCATCAGCACGGCGACCTGGGACGTGCCGTGGGGGCCTCACCCCCCACCCCCGGCCCACCTGCCCCTCGCGGCCACCAGTGGCACCTACGGCAAGCACAGTGACCTAGGGCGTGCCATGGGGGTCTCGCCCCCATCCCAGCGGCGCCCACCATCAGCACGGCGACCGAGGGCCTGCCGTCGGGGCCTCACCCCCATCCCAGCGGCGCCCACCGTCAGCACGGTGAACTAGGGCCTGCCATCGGAGCCTCACCCCCATCCCAGCGGCCAGCGGTGCCCACCGTCAGCACAGTGAATTAGGGCGTGCTGTCAGGGCCTTGCCCCCACCCCTGGCCCACTTGCCCCTCGGCCACCGGCGGCACCTACGGTCAGCACGGTGACCTAGGACATGCTGTCGGGGCCTCGCCCCCACCCTCAGCGGCGCCCACATCAGCACGCTGACGTAGGGCATGCTGTCAGAGCCTCGGCTGCCCCCGCCCCCGCCGTCCGACCGCCCCTCACGGCCGCAAGCGGCGCCCACCTTCAGCACGGTGACCTAGGGCCTACCGTCGGGGCCTCTCCCTCTCCACCCTCAGCGGCGCCCACATCAGCACGCTGACGTAGGGCCTGCCATCGGAGCCTCGGCTGCCCCCCCACCGTCCGCCCGCCCCTCACAGCTGCCAGCGGTGCCCACATCAGCACGGTGACATAGGGCGTGCCGTCGGAGCCTTGGTTGCCCCCCGCCCGCCCCTCGCGGCCGCCAGTGGCGCCCACCTTCAGCATGGTGACGTAGGGCGTGCCGTCGGGGCCTGGCCCCCCACCCTCAGCAGTGCCCACATCAGCACGGTGATGTAGGACGTGCGGTCGGGGCCTCTCCCTCTCCACCCTCAGCGCCCACATCAGCACGGTGACGTAGGGTGTGCCGTCGGGGCCTCCCCCCCACCCCCGTCATCCGCCAGCCCCTCACGGCTGCCAGCGGCGCCCACCTTCAGCACGGTGACCTAGGGCGTGCCGTCGGGGCCTGGCCCCCCACCCTCAGCAGCGCCCGCATCAGCACGGTGACGTAGGGCGTGCTGTCGGGGCCTCGACCCCCACCCTCAGCAGCGCCCGCATCAGCACGGTGACGTAGGGCGTGCTGTCGGGGCCTCGACCCCCACCCTCAGCGGCGCCCACATCAGCACGGTGACCTAGGGCGTGCTGTCGGGGCCTCGACCCCCACCCTCAGCGGCGCCCGCATCAGCACGGTGACGTAGGGCGTGCTGTCGGGGCCTCGACCCCCACCCTCAGCGGCGCCCGCATCAGCACGGTGACGTAGGGCGTGCTGTCGGGGCCTCGACCCCCACCCTCAGCAGCGCCCGCATCAGCACGGTGACGTAGGGCGTGCTGTCGGGGCCTCGACCACCACCCTCAGCGGCGCCCACATCAGCACAGTGATGTAGGACGTGCCGTCGGGGCCTCTCCCTCTCCACCCTCAGCGGCGCCCACATCAGCACGGTGACCTAGGGCCTGCCGTCGGGGCCTCGGCTGCCCCCCCCCGCCGTCCACCCGCCCCTCGCGGCCGCCAGCGGCGCCCACCTTCAGCACGGTGACGTAGGGCGTGCCGTCGGGGCCCACCTTGCTGCCGTTCACCTCCACGTGCTTCAGCCACTGGATGTGCGGCTGCGCGTCGCTGTACACCTTGCAGTGGAACTCCACGTCGCTGCCCAGCACGGCCGTCTGGTTGGCGGGCAGCCCGGCCTGCAGGATGGGCCGGTGCGGGGAGCGCTCTGCGGGGCAGGCGGGGCTCAGCGGCGGCGGCGCCGGGACGCGCCCACCCGGCCCCGGCCCGGCCCCGCGCCCCCGGCTCACCCAGCACGTCCAGCGTGTACGTCTGCCGGATGCTGCCGAACTTGTTCTCCACCACGCACGTGTAGTTGCCGCGGTCCGATGGCACCACGCTCTCCATCACCAGGCTCCACTGCTGGTGCCGCAGCTGCGGGCGCACGCGCAGGCGCAGTGAGCGCCCGCCCCCGGCCCCGCCTCTAGCCCCGCCCCCGGCCCGAGGCCCCGCCCACCTTGATGCCGCCGATGCGGTGCTCGCCGCGAAACTCTTTGCCATTCTTCAGCCAGGAGATGGAGGGCGTCGGGTTGCCGGCGGCCGGGCAGCGGAAGCGGACGGTGTTGGCGGCCGGCACCGCCAGCAGCTTCTTGTCCATCCGCTCGGGCCGGGTCCAGTAAGGGGCCCCTGCGGGTGGAGGGGCCCGAGGACGGCTATAGCGGGGCCCGGCCCGACCCCAGCTCAGGCTCCCACCAGCAGCACCCACTGTGCTGTGTGTGGTCAGAGCTGAGGTCCAGGGGTCCACCCTGGCCTAGGAGCCTTCCGCGTGCAAGGCTGACTCCCAGGGGAGCTCACACCCCGCGCCCGGGAGGCACAGGCAGGCAGGGAGGCCCGGCACTCAGCGCAGGCTCAGCCGAGTGGCAAGCCGGGACCCGCCCTGCCAGCGGCTTGGGGAGGGGAGCCCCAGGGGCAGCCCCTAGAACCCGGGAGCCCAGCTACTCCCCTCCATTCCGGGCACCTCTGGAGGCCCCGGCCACCCCCACCCTCACCACCCAACTGGTTTTCTCTCTTCCTCGGGGTGGGAGTGGGGGGCTGCTTTCCCGTGCAGGGCCTCACTCCCACAGACTCGCAGTCTCTGAGGGCACAGGCACACGTGGGGAGCAGCCCGGGCAGCCGCCAGAAAGCAGCCTGCCCGGCCGGGTGACCCAACCATGCCCACTGCCAGGCGATGCAAGGCAGCCCTCCAAGGACCCTCACGGCGCGAGCCACAAAGGACCCCAGCAAAGCGCCCGCCCGGGACGGCCCGGGGGCAGAGCCAGGGGCTGGGGTGCAGCGGAGCCGGAATTCGGCCCTGAACACCCTGGCAGCTGAGGGAAGGTGGACGGGGAAGCCCAGCGGCCCCTCGGGACGGGAGCTGCCCACACGGCGGCTCGCCACTCTGCACAGCTCAACAGGCCCTGGCCAGTCCTCGCCTATCCACTCTCGGAGGCCCCAGGCCCTGTCCACACTGTGACTGTCCCCAGTGTCCACCCCACCACGTCCCGTCTCTCAGCATCTCAAATCCAGCTGCTCCAAACCCAGAAGCCCCATGGACCCAGACCGGCCCCTCCCTGCTGGGCAGAGGCCACAATCCCCTACTCACCCACCACCCCTCAGTGGGGGTGGGGGTGGGGTGGATGGTGGTAGTCGCCCTGTGCCCTGCGGCACACACACACCGGTGGCTGCCCCTCCCCCCAGCCCCGGGCGACCCAGGCCCCGCAGGTGGGGAGCAGGCCTCACCTGTGTCTTCGGCCTCATCCTCGCCGTCTTCGTCATCTCCCGAGGACGGAGCCTCTGCGGCAAAGGGGCACGAGGGGGCGCTGGCCGTCTCTCTCCCCGACCTGCGCCAGGCCCCTCGTCCTTCGGGGGACCCTCCCCTCGGGGCTGGGGTGCTGCGGCCACACAACCCGGGGCCCCCCAGCGGCCTCCCGCTGCCTGGCGCAGCCCAGCCGGCACTCACCGGTCAGCCGCACAATGAAGTGGCACAGCACACGCTGCGTGAGCCGCTGCCGGCAGCTGTAGGCCCCCGCGTCCTCCTGGGAGGCGTTCAGCACCTGCAGCCGTTGAGGCCCGACCAGGATGCGGTCCGTGGACGCCAGCCCCGTGCCGTCCTTGACCCAGACGGTGGGCCCCAGGGGGCCACCTCCAGGAAGGTGGCAGCTCAGCTCCACGGTGTCCCCACTGCCAAAGACCACCTGTTCCTGTCGGCTGGGCTCCAACCCGGGCACCCCTGCAGGGGACACGGGACTGTGAGGCACCTCCTGACGCACGCTGCAGCCCTGAGCGAGGCAGGCCGGGCGGTGCTCAGAGCGGGGGCTGGTGCGCTGGCCAGGTCCCCTGGCGCCACAGCCCCTCGCACACCCGGCCCGGACGCCGAAGGGCAGGAGCCACCAAGGGAGGGTCCTTTAGCAAAGGGACACCTGGTCCTGAGCTCACACACAGCGCTCAGCACCAGGACGGGCCGCACGGCGCTGGCGGCTCGGAGGTCCCCAGCACCCCACGCCGAGCGGGGCGGGCAACCCCGAGGCGGCCAGCAGCGGAAGCAGGCGCGAGCCGGGGGTCTTGGGTCGCACAGCCCTCGCCAACAGGGCGGTCAGAGAACACGCCGGAGGAAAGGCGGAAATGCAGAGGGCACCCCGGGGCCAGCCAGCGCGGTCTCGGCCTGTGGGGTGAGAGGACCCAGGTGTGGGCGCCTGCCTGCGCGGGCCTGGGGCCGCCCCCCTGAGGACAGAGGCGGGGTGGGGGAGGCCAGCAGGTGAGGAGCTCGGGCTGCCTGGGCCTACAGCTGACAGTGCCGGACAGCCCCGGGGCCTGCTCCTCCCTGGCTCCCAGGGGGACATGAGGGCCAGGGCCGCAAGGACGCACCAGGGCCTCAGTGACCGTTACCCCCAGGCCTCCCTTGCCAGGGCCACACAATTCCCCATCAGGCGGCTGGCCTGGGCTTGGGGCCCGGGACAGGGGTGGGTGGTCCCGGGGGCCAGGCCCAGCTGGGCCAGTTGCGCCATCACTTGTCATTCTGCCGACGTATGGCCTAGATTCGAGGGCCCAGCTGCCCACTCTGGCCACAGTAGTGCCCGGCTCCCTGGCCAGGCCCGATTCGGCCCGTCCCTCCACGCGCCCCCCACACGCCCCAGCCTCCGTCAGGATCCTCCAGCGAGGAGGGCTCACTGCCATCCTGTGCACTCTCTACAGGAGCTCCCATCCCACAGGGACCCGCAGCTCAGGGCCAGACCTCGAGGGGGCCCTGTGGCCGGGGGAGGCTCCTGCCACAGTGTCCTGCGGGGACCACCCAGCACCAGGAGCTGCCTGAGGCCCCCCAGAAGGCTGAGGCCAGGCCCCGGCCCAAGGGCAACAGCCGGCTGATTCCGGTTTGGTCTGGAGCACCACGACAGGTCACGCAGTCCACACAAGGATTCCCTTCAACCTGGTCCAGAGAAGGAATCAGAGCGGCCCCGGGCCAGCCACGCCCAGGACCCCCACCCGTGCCGGCTGGAGAGGAGCGAGGCCCCGACCTGTTCACCCACCCTGCCCGCCAGGTGTCTCAGGGGCCAGGGACCCTGGGGTCTCATCTCCGCCTCCTCACCCAGGGGAGGCCAGCCAGGCGGCCCGGGGAAGGCTCTCTCTTGTCCACTCACCCGGGCACTGGGGCCCAGAGTCAGCAGGTCCCGCCACTCCTGCTCCTCCTGCAGCCCCAGTGTCAAGCCCCAGGGTGCCACCTGTGCCCCACAGAGGGCCCTGCAACCTGGAGAGCCCACAGAGCTCCCTGACTGTGCCTCAGTTTCCCCAACTGCAGCACAAGGTGGGGACTCCCACCTGCAGTCCAAGCACGCCCTGACGTGGGTCAGGTCACAGCCAGGCCAGGAGTCGAGGCCCCCAGCGTGCAGGGGTCACAGGGCAGGGGTAGCAGCAGAGCCACACCCCCTCACCAGGTGGGTCCAGGGGTGGGGTCAGCAGCGTCTAAGGGGTCCTGAGGCTCACCTGCCCACCTCAGTCTCCACCCAGACACATTCCACAGAGCTCCTGAACAAGTCAGAAGAGGGAAAGGGGCTGGGGGCCGGGCGAGCTAATGAGAGCTTATCGGGATTATCCGGCCTAATCCCCCAACAACCCCGCCATTATCCGTCCTCCCACACAGGTGAGGAAACCGAGCCCAGCAGGGCAGCGGCCGGCAGGACCCCTTGGGAGGGCCCTGACCCCAGCCCCAGCCCCGCTCCGGCCGCTGACCCGAGGCCGGGGGAGGCGGTGCCGAGGGGCTCCTGGGCGCAGAGGCCAGCCGATCAGGCCAGGTTAATGAACCACCAGGAGGCCTGCTGGGCTCAAAGTCCAGCCCTGCCAGGAGGGGGTGGGGAGGCTGCAGCTGCCTTCTGGAGGGAGGTCCGCACCCACCCCACCCCGCCAGGGACCCCCCTGGCTCCCGGGGACCCAGCCTCCCAGCACCCGAGAGCCACTGCCAGGCCCCCACGGCGGAGGACACAGCCCCGTGGAGACGGGGCTGGCGTGGGCAGTGGCGCCCTTGACCCCAGCAGGCAGGCTCCGGAGAAAGCGCCCTGGCCCTGCCCTTCACGCGGTCTTAGTGTTTTACTGCCCGGCCCATCTCGTTAAGGAGCCGGATTAAGTTTATGGTCCCATCAACTCACTACCTGTTCCTCCAGCCGGGGTGTGCGGGGGCGGGGCCCCCCCTCCAGGCGGGCCTCCCAGGCGCCTCCCCGGCCGGCCGGTCGGCCGGGAGTAATATCTTCATCTGAATGCGAATGCTAATGCGCCCCCGCGGCCGCCCCCTCGGCGCCCCCGGCAGCCGGGCCGTCGGAGCAGGCGCTCAAAGCGCGCGCTGACCTCGCGCCGGCCTCTGTCACGCCGTGAATGACACGCGCATTCAAGCGCCGGACCACTCTCATTCATAAAAAAATGACATTGTTCGCGCGGCTGCAGCCGCCGCGGCGACGGGGGCTCGGGGCGGGGGCCGCCATCTGCCTCGGTGCCGCGCGCCCGCGGCCGCCCCGCGCGCACCTCGCGACGTACAAAGCGGCGGCCGTCCGGGCCGCAGGCTCGCGGGGAAAGCGGCCCTCCACGGGGCCGGGGAGCGCACCCTTGGTCCTCGCGCGAGCCGAGGGTCCACGGGGGCGGGGGGCGGCTGCCCGCCCGGCGCCGGAGCAAGGACGCCCGGGCGCTCAGCCCGGCTCCGCGCCGCCCGCGTCCTGCGCCCGGGCACCTGGGGGCTGCGGCGGGGCGCGCGCTCCTCCCGGCACCCGGACGCCCCGCTGGACTTTGACCGGCACCCTCGCAGTCGCGGCGCCCACCCCGGGAGGGAGGTGTCACCTCGCCACGCAGTCGCTCCCACCTCCAAAGTCCAGTCTCGCGCTGGCCCAGGCTGGCCGGGAACCGGGGCCAGGGCGGGGGGTTGGGGGCACCGGCAGCAGGAACTTTCCGTCAGCAAAAAACCCGAGGGACGATGGGGTCGCGCAAACCGACGGCTTCTAGGGCGGCAGCCGCGCCCCGGGCGGGGGCTCCCACGAGCCGCGGTCTCCAGAGAGAGGGCAGCAGAGCCCGGCACCGGCGACCCCTCCCCACCTCGGAGCCGGCTGCCCGCTGCCGACCGACTCCTCTTCCAGCCCGGACCCCGGCCCTCCCGAGTCCCCGGGGCGGGGTGGGGGTGGGGTGGGGTGGGGGTCCTTCCGTCCTCACCTGCGGCTCTCCGCACCACACGCCGCTCCGGACCCGCAGGCTCCCAGACGACGCCGGCCACGACCACCACGGCCACGCAGAGTGCCAGCGCGCGGGCCGGGGCGCCCATGGCGGGGACCGAGCCGGCGTCCTCAGGCGGCGCGCGCGGGCATGCTGCCCCCCACGGCCCGGCCGGGGCCCGAGAGGGAGGAAGGCGCACGCCGGAGTCTGCGGGAGGAGGAGGAGGGCGGCACCTCGTCACCGGCCCCGGGGCGCGCGGCAGCGGCGGCCGCGGCCAGGGTCCTGAGCCCCGAGCCCTCCGGCCCCCGGCCCCCGGCCGCCCCGCCCGCCGCCGCCGCCGCCGCCGCCGCCGCCGCCCAGGGCTCCCGGGCCGCCTGGCGCCGGCCGCCTCCTCTCCGCCGCGGTCCCTCCCTCCCTCCCCCTTCCCTCCCAGGGCGGCGGCGGCGGCAAACTTCCCAGGGCGGGAAGCTGCCACAGCGGCCGCTCGGGACCCGCGCCCGCCGCGCGCCCCGGCCCCTCCGGGGGTCGCCCCCGCGACCCCTCCCAGAGCCCGCCCGGCCCCGCGCACCCACCTGGCGCCTCTGGAACCCGGCTCGCCACGCGCGGCTCCCACGGCCCCGGCTCGCAGCCCGCCCCTGCCGCCGCCGGTGCGTCCGTGCGCCCGAACGGGACCGCGCGGCGCCAGCTGCCCGCGCCGCCGCCGCCGCCGCCGCCGCCGAGCTCTGAGCAGGGGCTGCCCGGCGCGCGGCGGCCGAGGGGGGACGGCCCGCGCCCGGCCCGCCCCCGCCCCGCCCAGGCCACGCCCGCGCCGCGCGCTGCGGGGCGGTCCCGGGCGAGGAGGCGTGGCCGGCGGGGGCGGCCCCCGGTCCCCGAGGGCGTGGGAGCCCGGGCAGGGCGGTCGCGCGGGAGGCCCGGCGCAGCCTGTCCGTGCGGGGCTGGGGCAGCTCGGGGCCGCGGGATTGTGCGGGAGGGCTCGGGGGCGTGGGCTCAGGGGACCGGAGGCCCGGGAGGCTTCGCGGGGGAGCCGTGGCAGCAGAACCCCGCGGCGGGGGACCGGCCGACCTCCGGCGGCGGAGAGCAGGGCGCCTCCGGTCCGAGCCTCGCTGCGCGTGGAGGCTGCGCCTGTGCGGGGGGGGGGGGGTGTCCGTCCCGCGCGGCCGCAGGGAGGGGGCGGAAGGTTGGTGCTTGCCAGGCCTCGGAACGGCCGGTGGTGAGCTGGTGGCAGAGCACAGCCGGGCGAGGTTCTGGGAGATTTGGGCCGGGAAGGCAAGGCTGGGCGCGCAGCACCAGGCCCTGCCTTCAGACCCCCATGCGACAGGCCAGCCCAGAGAGGTCGAGGGCCTGCGGAGCTGGAGGGCCGCAGGTGCTGGCCGGATCACCAGGAGAGTGGGCCACAAACCGGCTCTGTGTTCCCCCAGGCCTCGGTGCGCGCGCAGGTGCTGGGGGGGCGGGGGCTGGCGGGGAGGCCACCCTCTGCTCAGTGGGCAGCTCAGCACCTCCGCCCTGGGCCTCCCTCGTGGGCTGCTCAGGCCAAGTCCGCGTCCTTGCAGCCTGGGGACACAGGCCCACTGGCCCCTAGGTGAGCTGGCCAGGCCTCTGCAGTGCGCAGCCGCAGGCCGCTGCCACTCAGCGCCTCTCAGCGCCGTCTGCACTCATCTGGGTTTTTGGGTTTTTCTGAGATTCATTTATTTGAAAGGCAGACAGTGAGCAGGGAGAGATGGAGACCTTCCGTCCACTGCGCACTCCCCGAATGCCCACAACAGCCAGGGCTGGGCCGGGACGGAGCCGGGAGCGCCAGGCCAGTCTCCCGTGTGGGTGGCAGGGACTCACGTGGTTGGAGCCGTCCTCTGCTGCCCCCGGGTGCACATCAGGAGGAGCTGGGACCCCCATACCAGGCTGCAGCCAGTCGCTTAGTCCGTCCTGCGCCAGGACGAGGGGGGCCCGGGTGCTCTGGGCCCCTCGGCAGCAGGCCGCGTCCTTCCTGCTTTGAGGGAAGGAGTTGGTGGGTCGGGCTGGTGGCAGCTGGGCGGGGGCGGGGAGGACCGGCCAGCTGGGTGCCCACAGCCCCTCCCCGGTGCCCGGGAAGGGCCAGCCCCCTCTGCCTAGCAGGTCAGCGGTCTTTGTGCACCGGGCACATGCTGCTTCGTGCCCGTCAGGAGCCCCTCCTCAGGAGAGATGCCCTCTTGGGCAGCCTGGGGCTGTGCCCGCTGCCCTGTGTGCCTGCTGCCCCATCCCTGTCCCCACGTGTCCCCCAAGCCTGCCCCCACAGACCACACATCCGGGTCCCCTCACTGTCCAGCCTCGAGGGGAGCCGGAGACTCCCCATCCCGCTCTCCTCTGCCACTCTCCTGCTCGGGACCAGCCTGGGGTGCGCCCAGGGCGCGTCCCAACCCGCGTCGCCCAGGGCCCACCTTCCCCCCGCCTCAGCCCAGGCGTGGGCAGGCCAGGCTCCCTCCCACTCTCTGCAGAGGGGGCTAGGGACTTCCTGGCCCAGCTCCGGGGGCTCCGGGGGCCCCGTGTGGCCCACGTCTGCCTCTGTGTCTCTGCCTCACTGAACCTAGGGCTTGCCTAGCCGGATTGCCTCATGCTTGCAAATGTGGTTCCGGCTCAGGTGTGCGTTCCCGCACGTGCCACGGTGCCACGGTGGCGCTGTCCACGCCCTGATGTGACTGCTCCCCGTGGCTTCGCTCGCGGCACCGCTCACTGCCGGCAGCTCACCTGAAGCTGCCCCCGTCCCCACCTCGCGGGGAGGCCGTTACTTGAAGGCGTCCTTATTCTATTTGAGAGCAGAGATCTGTCCCGTGCACGGCTCCACTCAAATGCCCGCAACAGTGGGGGCTGGGCCAGGCCGCAGCTGGGAGCCGGGAGCCCCATCAGGTCGCCCCTGTGGGTGGCGGGGGCCCAACCACTTGAGCCGTTGCTGCTGCTTCCTGGGAGGCGCTGCAGCCGGAAGCTGGAATTGGGAGCAGGGCCCAGACTCGAACCCGCTACAAACGTGCCACACCGGCCGGCCGTTGACCCCTGTGCCAAAGCCCACCCAGGCGACTCCGTCTTGTTCAGATCGTTGCTTCCTAGTCAACGCGGTCAGCCGACGCCCTGCCTTTCCCGGCGCTCCTGGGCACTCCCTCGAGGCTCTGCCTCACCCCCACCCATGCCTCGGTCTGTGTCGTGCGTTCTCCATGCCGGTGATGCCACCTGAGTTAGCCGCCGGGACTGGCGCTGTGGCGTAGCGGCAAAGCCGCCACCACCGCCACCAGCATCCCACATGGGCGCCTTTTCAAGTCCCGACTGCTCCAGTGCTAATGCGCCTGGGAAGGCAGTGGAGGATGGCCCAGGCGCTCGGGCCCCGCACCCACGGGGAGACCTGGAAGAAGCTCTGGGTCCTGGCTTCAGCCCGGCTCAACCCTGGTTACTGTGGCCCTCTGGGGAGTGAGCTAGCAGGTGGAAGACCCCCCTCCTCTCTCTGTCTCCTTTCAAATAAGTAAGTCTTTAAAAAACTACATCATGGCCCCTTCACAGCACTTCCCCTCGGGCCCTTGGCTGCAGCGCTGCTACGCCCTCCCTGACCCTTCGGGCGCACCGCACAGGGCAGGTGGAGAGGCGGCCCCCAGTGGGAGGTGCGGGTGGGCAGGGGTCCCAGTGAAGATGAGTGGGATGCCCCGCAGGCAGGGAGAGGGGCCAGTGGCCCGGCCCAGCCCTGCCGGGTGACTCAGAGCCGGCGGCCCGGCTTGCTGGGGCCTGTGCCGATGAGCAGCGCTGAGGGTGCCGCGGCTGGCTCTGCCCCAGGCAGTGAGGCTGCAGCGTGGGGCTTGGGGAGCCCCTGCGAGGAGGGCCGGCCCGGGAGCGGGGCTGCTGACCGCAGCTTCTTTTGCCCTGGCCTGCGGAGGGGCCGCAAATCCCTTCTTCCCTCTGCAGAGGCCGGGGTGCGCCACCTCCCAGTGTGCACCCCACCTTCCCTGGGAAGCACGGGGCCAGACACGCAGAGAGGAGGGGCGGGAGCCCCGGGAGCCCCAGCTCCCCTCCCCCCCTGAGAAGACGGCAGCTCCGGGTGAGGCTGAGGCTCTGACGGGTCGGGAGTAATTTCTCCTAAATTCATTCTCAGAGGAGCCGGCGCTGTGGCATAGCAGGTACCGCCGCCACCTGCTGCGCCGGCATCCCGTCTGGGCACTGGTTTCTGTCCTGGCGGCCTCACATCCGCTCCAGATCCCTGCTGATGGCCTGGGAGAGCAGTGGAAAGTGGCCCAGGCGCTTGGGCCCCTGCCACATATGTGGGAGACCAGGAAGAAGCTCCTGGCTCCTGGCTTCAGCCTGGCTCAACCCTGGCCATCACGGCCATCTGGGGAATGAACCAACGGATGGAAGACCCCTCTTTCTCTGTGTCTCCCTCTCTCTCTGTAACTCAGATTTTCAAATGCATAAATAAAAATTTATTCCCATAGAATTTGAGGGGGATTAAAACTAAAAAGCACATATGATTTGCTCATTATATCAGAAAAGGAATCTTTTTAAAGATTTATTTTATTTGAAAGGCAGAGTTAGAGAGAGAGAGATCTTCCATCTGCTGGTTCACTCCTCAAATGGCCGCAACAGCTGGAACTGGACCAGACTGAAGCCAGCAGTCAGGAGCTTCTTCCGGGTCTCCCACGCGGGTGCAGGGGCCCGAGGACCTGGGCCATCTTCCACTGCTTTCCCAGCAGAGAGCTGGATGGGAAGTGGAGCAGCTGGGTCTCGAACCAGCGCCCATGTGGGATGCCAACACTGCAGGCAGCCAGCGCCCATGTGGGATGCCAACACTGCAGGAAGCAGCTTTACTTTTTATGTCACAGTGCTGGCCCCACAAATGGAATTTTAAAGAAAGAGAAAGAGAAGAAGAGAAAATATTCCATAGTCCCTCAGCAAACACTAGGGACTGTGTAAGATCCTTAATGTTAGTTCCGAGCTTCCTGGCAGGCTGAGCGAAAAGGGCAACACCGTGAGTCACGCTTTGTTGGCCCAGACCTGTGGTGACGTCCTGGTCCACGGGCTGCGGTGACGTCCCCGGTTCACTGACACCACTGGACCTCAAATCCCAATTTTTGGTTTGGAAAACGTCAGTGCTCCCAGATGAGCTAAGAAAGGAGACCAGGGCACTCAGCAGGCGTGGTGGGGAGGAGGGGGCGCCCCACTGCCTGCCGGGAGCCTGGTGCACAGGGCTGCAGAGCAGGGACCGGGGGCGGGACCGGCGGTGCCGCGGCCACCGAGGGGTTAAGGCCTCAGGGCCGCCGGTAGCCACGGAGCCGCTCCGAAATCTGTTTTCCTGAGCACTTGCCATTTGCCTGAAGCCTCAAGTGTGTTTCCCTAAGTTTTATTTTTTCTTTGACCCCAAACTCTGGGAAATTTAATTATGGTGTTTTGGGTCCATTTACACTTCAACCCTCTCAGCGTTTTTCCCGAGACCCTTCTGGAGTTCCGTGCGCCTTGGGAGCCTTCTAAATGAACGTTTTTATGATTATTATTTTTTGGAGAGCCCCTCCCCCACGGCCCGCCCCTGCACACCAGCCTCCTCCCTGCCAAGAACAAACAAGCCCTCGACTGGGCTCGGGCTGCGTGAGGGATCCAGGCCCCGACCCGCCAAGCACACGTCACACCCGCCTCGGGACACCCTCCCCCTGGGGCCGCCACCTGCCTCACCCCCGCCCAGGGCCCTGGTCCCAGCTCCGCGTGCCACCCCCCACAGGAGCCCGTGGG